CAGTGTTGATTCTCATATTATGTTTTACATTCTTCATTCATGGATGTTAGATGTTGTGTACAAAACTACAATAGTACAAAACCAACATGTGGTGTAAATAGAAAAATGCAAGATCAACAAACGGTGTAAGATCAATAATATAAATTAACAAGTGGTGTAAGATCAATAATGTAGGAGAATGAAATGCAAAATCAAATAAGTAAGACCAATAAGATGTGTATAATCAACAGAGTAAGGCAAATCCTATAAAATTACTAGTATTAGATCAACTAATGGTGTAAAATTTAAAGCGTAAGACCTATAACTGGTGTAAAATTTGAAGTGTAAGACCTATAACTGGTGTAAAATTTAAAGTTTAAGACCTATAACTTTGTAGACATGACTTGTAATAACTGGATAATGATTAAAGTAATATAAATAATTCATTCTGAATCTTCTTCTTTGTTCACTGGCTGTAAGCTCCGGTGGAAAGTCCTGACTGTTCGTCCATTTGGACTTTAGCTTGGTGCCAGGGCCTGAGTTTTGCATGTACATCCATTTTAGTGGCTTATTTGTGTGCAGTTGGTTGTCCCTTGCCATTCGGGCAGATGCACTCCGACTCCCCAATTAGTTTACTCCTATGACATGCTAGCTTGGGAGGAAGCTGATCTATCTTTGTTATCACCACAATCTGACCCTAGAACCCACATGGGGACTTCATATTTAATTATATATGAACACTTTGCAAAATGTCATCTTACGCATTACCATAAGTGACTAAAGAAATACTGCTAAAGCTAAATGTTTTTACATATTCTGGTTCTCAGGATGCACAAACTAAAATATAAGTCTGATTCTGGCAATGAGGGGTGTACAAGGACCCTTTCTCCCGGTGACATATTATTTATATAGTTATGCGTTAGCTGAGTTTCCAAAATCCTTGTAGATGGTTCGCCCCATAACGGTTCCGTTTCTGTGCCAGTCGAGATCCCACAAAATGTCCTTCACTGTCCCATTTGAACACTAGTGGAAAACTTGTCAGTCCCAGCAAAATCTCAAAGCTTGCACATGCAAACGGTTATATGGAGTAAGGCCTATATCTTAAGACCAGTCAGCACTCATGGGTGCTGTGGTTCATATCACACAAGCTATCTTTAAACATTTAGAAAATGTTATGGTACCCAGTTTTAAAGCAGATTTGATCCTAGGGTCACATGGCCATGAAAAAAATTCCTAACTTCATAATCACAACTCCTCATGTACACACAGGGACATCATTTTCAGGGAAAGAATAGACACACACAATCCTAACAAGCATGTCGTACAAGGTAATCAGTTGGCAATTTCTATCTGAATGTGGAGGAGATCTGCCTGAAAAGCGAGGAACCAATAGTCTGAATACAAGTAAGCCAGATCTGTAAAAAAAAATGTGCATCCACAAATTCATGTTCTGAAACAAAACTGAAGTCCAGAAGTGGATGAACAACCAGAACTTTCAGCCAGTGAAAGCAATGAAAAGGATGACTCCGAAAAATGATTCTCCCTTTACTGTAGATTAAACATGGACTATTGTCTTGACAGGCAACAGCATAACAACTATGAATGCTACAAGAGAAATCTCTTTTTGTCGATATCTGCTTTATGCCGCCAGGCGCTGCAATTAACAGATGATTGGTCACTATGAGGGTTCCAAGGCCCTGTTGTGGGAAAAACAAGAACAGACCCACTGCCTCCCCAACAAGCACGTTGTAAGAGTCGACTAACTGAGGTTTTCGTTTGAAGTCAGAAAGCATCTGCCTGAGAGGCAAAGAACCAACAATCTGCATAATTCAGACCTTTGAAACGGATGTGCATGCAACAGACAGGTTCTAGAACAAGTCTAAAGTCCAGAGGTTGGTGAACAACCAGAACTTTCCACCGGAGTTTACAGTCGGTGAACTCGAAGAACAACAACATGATAGGTAGCCGAGCTAGGGCATGCTCAGTTTCTTGGTATGCTGTGATGTTGTGAGGTCTCAGTCTTCCTCTGCCTCATGGTGTGCCCATTTTCATGTTGTATGCTCTTGCTACTGGCAATACTGGATTCATTCTCTTTAGGTAACCAAACTATTTCAGTCTTTATTTCTCAGCAAATTTTATTATGGGTACTTTCTAACCTCTCCATTTTTGATAAAATCTCTTCTGGTTTTGTTATCAGCCTTTCTCAAATATTTTACAGGTATTTATTTGTTTCTGATGTGATTCTTACATTTAGTCAGTGTTACTTTGAGAAAGAAGCTGTAAAAAGTCTTAGCAAACCGGCAATGGATTTAAATATTTACACACACAAAACTGCTCTAGAAATTGTATGACATTTAAAAAAAAAAAAAAAAAAATCAGAACAACAATAAACAGGACAGGAGAACTGGTCCGCCATCTCACACTCATAGTAAACAAGAGAAACAATATTATCATAAATTCATTATTTTCTTGCGTAGGCCGCAGTTCAAGTGAAACAAAAAAAATAGAACAGAATGGACTCGCTGAACTCTAACAGGCATATTATCGAAGGCGACTAATTAGGAATTTTCTAAAACTGGATGTGTTGACCGACAGGTGCAGATATCACAGTCTAGCTGCCAACCACTCTTTTCAGAGCAAACGCAGAAAAATAAATATTTTTTACAATGGTAAAACAAATGTAATAATCTTGCTATGTTGAAGATTCTTCACGTTATTATTTTCGGTCTCTAACGCACTTCTCCTTAAGGTATTGGTCTCTCTACAAGTGTATAGCAAAGGCATAAATTAATCTAAAGACAAGGGTAGAGAAGCTTGATATGAGACATCTGGTAGCCTAGACTAAACTGGGCCATATACTGCAACAATAACAAATAACAAATAAAATAATAATGAGAAGAAAGATGTGTATATAACATGTCAAATGTGTTTGTCATCATTTTATGAAATATGATGCAGCTCTGTTATTTTGGAGTTAGTGATTACATACATAAAGAAACTATCAGGCAAATTACATTCATTGGGCTTCTAGGTAGCAACTTTTGAACGTATGGTGCCTTCCTTGGGACCGAATGGGTTAAAAAAAACTGTTCTAATGGCATTCGAACAGTGGTAAGAGAGTCCTATCATTGAAGACAATAGGACCTAACCATGTAATATTCCTAACAACTGCAGTGGCTTATGTGCAGCTAACTTTCGTTGTGGAGATGGCACTCAATTATTGAATTAAATTTGATAACAGATGTGAAATAAAGATCAATTCAGCCATACAGAAATAACCTTTTAAATGTAATTCTTATAACATCTAAATCAGACGCCCAGATGACATCATAATATATACAAATGGTCTGTAGTGAGAAGTAAGAAGAGTGGGTGGGGTTTTATTTCAAAGGTGAATGGACACTGCTTGAAAACAGAGAGCCTCACCTGCAACATCACTACATCCAGACCTGCAACATCACTACATCCAGACCTGCAACATCACTACACATCCAGTATAAGAATGGAGGTGCAGGCAGTAACATCTGCTGTCCGATGGCTGGAATGCAGCACTAACTGACATGTTACAAATCTAACAGACTCACGGAGCATGCTTCAGAAAACTGAACTACTGTCCTGCGCGCAGGGTGGCTTGTATCACTTGATAAGACCCAGGTCAAGAGCATATCATGGATTTTCTGTCCAGGTTATTCAGGTGTGGGAGGTAATGAGCAGGCTGATAGATTAGCTGCTGCAACTCCTCTGGGCGGTGAGCTACTATATGATAAAGCAGATGTGGTGTAGCTCTGTAAGATCAAATGGAGAGTGCATAAGAACAGTTATGGAATCCATACACCAAAAGACTATTCAAAGGGCGTGTATAGAAGTTCTGGAGGATATTCAACACTGAAGGGGAAACAGAAGTAGACTTTTAACCCTCTTAGCACGGACGGGCCGATTATCGGCCATCGGCAGTCTGGCCAAAAACACAGACGGCCGATCATCGGCCCGATCGTGTTTCACCTCGACACTGTAAGAAATCTCCTATTTTGAAACACCAAAAGTGATTATTTTATATTCACTGCTGTATTAGCTTTACACATGGTGACTTTCTTGTGTTTGGTGTCGAAGTAAAAATTTTTGTTGAATTTTTTTTAGATAGTGACCTAAACCGCTAAAAGTATATCTGACTCGAATGTTTCTGCCCCTGAACTTGATATTGATGAAACATTTGAATCAAGTGATAACACTAATTCTATTGATACTGATGCAGGATCTAGTGTTAGTGAGGAATCAGATGGGGACGCTGATCTGACCACAGCCCAACCATGGCTCAGGGTATATCCACCCGAAGATGTTGTTGACACTCCGGCACATCCATTTCTTGAGCTGACTGGTCTAAAACACATGCCACTTAAAGATGTTATTGCTGTTTCTTATATATACCTGTTTTTGACTATTGAATTCACCACTATTGTTTTGAAAACATAAATGTAAATAGGCCAAAGATCAATAAAAATATTTCAAATAAAATATAGTTTTGTTTTTAGTTATGTGTTTCATGCATTGAAGTTGAAAATTCATAAAATAATCTAATTATCTATTTTTAGATATACAAATGAGATAATTTGCATATACATCAATTTATTTTAACAATATTGTGAAAATCATGAACTTTATATCCTTCAAATAAATCTATTATTTCATGGGGTCAGAATAACAGAAATGTGTCCAAAAAAATAAAGTAATAACCAAATTTACTGAACAAATGCTCCGTGTTTTTGGCTAGACATCTGAAAAACTTCGAGTTCTGGAAGGGTTAATTAGGTTGTAACTGTTACTATTAGCATGTAACCTCTTTACTGGTTACTAAAGAAGGCGACGGAGCACGTGTGGGAGTGTCCCAAGTGCAGTGATGTCAGTTCTTGATTCATTCTAAAACATGTGAAAATCTATTTCTAGCATAGCAGCAGAGAAAGAAAATTGTTATAGATACAATTGTCATTATAAAAAAAAAGTTGATTAGAATCTAACCCTTAACTTCATAATGGATCCCTCACCCATCTAACACTGACTTCTTCATTACCAGCATAATGCTTGAAAATATAGACACTTGCTGTAAGTAGACCAAGTCCTAAGCTGATTGAGAAGATGGTCTTCATGATGAACCTGCATCTGTCAGACTTTGTTCCCTCTTTGGTTATGCTGTTGTGCCTGTGCTGGGCTGAGAGTAGTGTCACTGTGGGTATCTCTGCCTCTTTGAGGACTGAAGGTTTCAGTCTGAACAGAACCTCAAGGGCACTTCTTTCTCCAGCTTGTACTGCACCACTCATGTAACCAGACCACGATGTGGCAGTCTCTGTTCCAGCAAAGTGGATTCTAGAAGAACAAGAAATATACATGATAAGTAAGGTGGATTCTAGAAGAAGAACAAGAAATATATATGAATAAGTAAAGTGGATTCTTAAAGAAAAAGAAGAAATATACATGAATAAGTAAGGTGGAATCTAGAAGAAGAAGAAGAAGAAGAAGAAGAAGAAGAAGAAGAAGAAGAAGAAGAAGAAGAAGAAGAAGAAGAAGAAATATACATGAATAAGTAAAGTGGATTCTAGAAGAAGAAGAAGAAGAAGAAGAAGAAGAAGAAGAAGAAGAAGAAGAAGAAGAAGAAGAAGAAGAAGAAGAAGAAGAAGAAGAAGAAGAAGAAATATACATGAATAAGTAAGGTGGATTCTAAAAAAACTTACTCTCACAATAAAGCAATGTAAATTCTAGAAGAGCTATTTACTAAGAATAAACAAAAATAAAAATAATCCTTAAGAAAAAATTGTCTACTAAAAAGAAAAACAGATTATAAAACAAAATTGTTGCTTGAATAATGAACACAAATTCTAAAATATGAAATTCTAGTTAAGCAAAATTTATCCTAGAAAAATGTTTCACAAAACATGCACACAACATTTTGTTAAGAAATATCTTTACAATATGCATATCAGGGCTGATTATTAATCTCCAGGACTAAGTTCCCCTCCCTCACTCTCAAGGTAATTTCAAATGTAACAGAGTAACATTAATATAGTGTAGGCAGCAGCTAAGTTGAAGAATTTATATACCTTAGAAGTAAAGTTACTCCAGATGGAGATTCTGAAAGGAGGAAGAATCAAGAATAAACACAGCAAATCAAGCGTTTGCCATGCTTAACAATATATGGAAGTCAAAGGGATTTAGTTTAAAGACAAAACTCAGAATATACAAGAGCAACATTTTAGGAATACTATTATACAAACAGTGAATGTTGGAAAATGACAGCGGGAAATACACATAAACTTTAGACTTTTTAAAATTAATGTTTAAGTAGAATTCTACAAAAAATGTTGGCCAAACAAGACCACAAATGAAGAACTGAAGAGGAAAACAGAATGTGACTCACTGGCAAATGTTATCAAAGTAAGACGATGGAGATGGCTTGGACATGTTTGCAGAATGCCTTGTGACACTCTGGCAAAAACAGCTCTCCGGTGGACAGCAGATGGGAAAAGGAGACGTGAACGACATAAAGAAACCTGGAGAAGGGTAGTGAAGGAATGTAAACTGACATGGGATACCATGGGCAGAAAAGCAGCAGAAAGGCAGCAATGGAGATCACTTGTGAATGCCTTATGTGTCAACAGCGACATGAAGAGGCAGCAGCTATTTTACTGATATACAGGCCAAATCACAATTCAATATCTCTAGGCATGTGCAGCACAAGATGCTGTCAGTGAACATAATCTTGCAGTGTTTAATGGATTTTTTAAAATGGACGTAAATATGCAGTAAAATGTGTGCACTTGTTTCTACTTTCACCTTGGAAAAGCTGGTCTAAAATTGTTGAAATGCTGCAGTCAGCTTTCAGAGAGTCCTGCTGAAGTCAGTCAAAGATGTCTGAATGGTATTCCTGTTTTCAGAAATGGTCGCTGACCTTTAAAGATCCCCTTTCACGCCTTAGGCGTATTGGGTACATATATGGGAAGAGCACCTATATTTTTACAGACCTTCGACACTCTGTGGGTAATGTGGTCAGCATTACGCCGACCATCTTTACTTCCCCAGGACAGCCATCCTGGTACCCATTTTAGGCTTGGTTGACATGCGACACCCCCATACCATGATAAAATTCACGCAGCCAGCAGTGGGTTTTGATCACTATACATTGGAATTACGAGTCAGACTCGCAACACCTAAGCCACAGACGCCGCTCGCTGACCTTCAAAGGTGATCTGAATCAAGGCAGACTATCATTCACACAGACCAGAATATGTCATATGTGCAAGAAATCATTCATGTTAACATCTGACAATCAGAGAGACTGCAAAGGACATTTAGTATGTGCCCAAAAAAAATCATAACAAAATCTGTGAAAGATATTTCCAGGAAATGAAGAGGCAAACTTGTAAAGGCTACAGGTAACCCTATGTGCTCAGAGCTTCGAGGAGGCAAAGATGTTCTGTGCAATCCTTGAGGACAAACTGGAGAGATGATGACAAAAATTACAGACCAGACTATGGCAATTTAAATTGGCTTGGCAGAAATATGTACACCAACATTTTCAGACTCAGAACAGGATAATGTAAACCCAGAGCACACCTTCATTCTAACTCTGTAGCATGTAGATGCAGTGCACCAACGCCCAGTACAGAACATGATTTACAGGAGTGACCAGATTTTTGCAGTCAGAGGGAAGAAATCTGGCCCTCAGTAGCAATCCTGCTAGATAAACTATGGGGCACTAGTGAAGACCTCAAGGGCAACATCCTGTTTATGACCCTGATTGGAAGTACTGCATGGCAAACAATTATCAGTGAAGAAGAAGACAAAGAAGAAGCAAATAAGATGGGTAACCTGTCTCCTGATGATGCCACTACTTATATGTATCCCATTACGGGTCATTGGATAAAACGTTTCAGAAAATCAGAGTTTAGAAGTGATGCAGTACTAGTAAATATGTAATTACTTTCCTGCTACAAAATTTGGAATATTGCAAAGCAAGGTGTATTCTCAGTCAACTAACATATCTAATGTTGAACTATGATTAGATTACATCTTAATATTTCTGTTTTGACTCAACAATCTATTCTAAATTTCCTAAATTATCACAAATATAGTTTTATTAACTTTTCCTATTCCCTGATAAATTTACAATAACCACAGACAACATCATAAAACTGGAAAGACGAAAAGACCAAGAAAACAAAACCAATTCAATCAAATATGAAATTTCAACTGTAAACAAAACAAAAAAACTGCAAAACAGGTAACATATAAACAATGTAAAATTGCTCTAATGGTTTCTATTGTCTTCCTTTTCTTATTAATCACATTTGCAAAAACTTGACAAAGCTGTGCTTGGTAGTCATCTTCTTCTTCTGCATTTGCCTTTCAAAAAGCTGCTGGCACACTGTGTTGTTGTCAACAGCTAGACTGTGACATTTGCCCTTTTCAACCCAAAACATTTAGTTTCCGCAAAACCCTAATTAGTCTTTCCTTTCGGCCTCCAACAGGTGCCAAGCAGCACCAATGGGGACGATATAATATACTCGTCTAATTGTAAAGCAACATAAAAACCAAAATTACTAGTCCCCTCGAAAACAAAATTCTTGGACAAATTTAACTTTTGTCAATTCATTAAATAACATTTTTTAAAACACTGTAACTATTCCTAAACTGAAACTATTCATTACCTGAAGGTAATCTGAAAACAGATAATCAAAAACATATTTTCAAAATTTAACAGCAGGTATAAAACTACTGAGAATTACAAAAGAATTACAAAACAAAGACTAAAATGGGGGGAAAAAAACAGACATTATTACGAGAAGCTAAAAATGCTTGGCTGAACTTCCTGTCAGAAATTGTGAGAGTTGCATGCAACAGAGTGAAGTGAAGGAGTTGCATGCAAGCCCTATGTGAAATCTAATGGTAGATAAAGGATGATGACGATGCAGCTACTGCCTCTAAAGATGAAAGTGAACATTTAACACACCACAAAAGATGTACAACTGAAAATTCCACATAAAGATGTACAAGTGAACATGTCACATAAAGATGTACAAGTGAACATGTCACATAAAGATGTACAAGTGAACAGGTCACATAAAGATGTACAAGTGAACATGTCACATAAAGATGTACAAGTGAAAATGTCACATAAAGATGTACAAGTGAACATGTCATATAAAGAAATTAACAACTGAAAATATCTCATGCTAGATAACAAAGTTAATAGCTAAATACATTCTTGTTGCATTTTCATGAACTATAGAGAGAAAAAAAGGCCAAAAACATAACTGACCATACCTTCCATCGGGCCGCCTGATGGCCTTAGCAAAGTTTGCTGACCCTCCAGGTGTGATGTACGAAACTGGGGCACCCCAACTGAAGGGCTCATCATTCCAGTTTTTCTCTATGTAATCAAGGAAAGTGAAAACCTCAGGCCCAAAGAAGACAGCAAAGTGATCTAGAACAGCCTTCTGTCTTATCTTGGCCTGGAGAAAAAAGGAGTGAATTGGGTGTTTTTTGTTTTTTTTTAAATCTTGTACTATCTACATTATATTATATCAGTTGTGTGAAACAAACGGACCACAGCAAGACAGCAAAGTGATCCAGAAGAGCTTTCTGTCTTATTTTAGCCTAAAACGAACATCTAATGTTTAAAACAAAAAATATTTTTAATGGGTGACAAACTGGGTAAGCAGACCCATCTTACGTTTGCCCTTCCAACCTCTCATCTTTAACATATTAATTCAATTTTATTTATTAGGCATCACATATCGATACCGATCATCATCATCCTTCTTTAGTGTATTTACACATCACATAGAGCTCATAGGCTATTCTTCCATTTCATGATATCCTGTGAAGTTGTTTCACTGTCATAGATAGAATCCAGTCCAGCACCTTTGGCCTCACTCATCAACATTCATCGCAGGATTTCTCCTGGATGTCCTGGCCTCCTTTATCTATGTGTTTCTCATTTTAGTGCCTGTCTGATGGTTCTCTGTTTGCTTCTTCTCATAATGTGCCCAATATACCACCATCTTCTTTATCTTACAAATGTTGATACCAGTGACTGAACTGATTTGTCTCTTATTTCTTCACTCTTCTTGAATTAACTGGGAAGGTCAGGGATAGTGAGCATACATTGGATCTTTTTTCCAGGCAACGCCAGTGTAGTGGGTAATGAACAGGCAGACAAATTGGCTGGATCTGCACCACTAGGTGGTGAACTGATACATGACAAGGCAAATGTGGTCAAGGCCCTTTGGAAACAAGCAAAGGAATTAGTCGAGAAACAAGATTATTATGGCCTGGGGAGAATGAGGCACCTGGGTGTAACCAGAGGGTCTAGTCGGCTCACTACAGTCAGAGGAAAGGCAAGATGGACATATAACCAGATTTTGACCGGTACCATCAGTATTAGAACTCTGCACTGGCTGCTGAAGATGAGGATAGAGCATACATGGGAATGCTCTGAGTGCTGTGATGAAAATTTGTGACTCAACTCAACTCTTCTTGAATTAATCCCATTTAACATTCACAAATTTCCTTAAGCGTTTGTTTTTAAATGCATTCAACTTTTGTTTCATGTCTTCAATGGTTCGTACAACAATATACATAATATGAAGTACAAATGCAAGCTCACAGAAACAAAGTATTCAGACAATATTTTGCTAATTTGTTCTACTCAAGCAACAAGAACTGACTCATTTCAGCTGTTGAAACAGAAAGAAATATAGATATACTGAGTCAATACAGACAAAGAAATCATTTTGAGAATGTTGACAAGAAAAGTCAGAGGTGACGGACTAGGCTCCATACAAGATTTGTTTTTTAAATGCACAAGAGAGAATGGAATAGAGACATCAACTGTGAAGCCTATGTAATGCATGCAGGGCATACAAAACTGATGAAAATGATGACAACTATGCTAGAGGGAAAAAATGAAATGCAAACAAGCAAAGTGTTAATAATAGTTTTTATGGGAAGATACCAAATGACAGGCTGAAAAAAAAGATTAAGTCTGTACCATGATTATGAGAGACATAAGAATATGAAGATTCCATCTGATCTGATTCCTTACCGTCTGTGTAGTCCAGCATACAGCAGCTTCACCACCTAGAAAGCCTACAAGTGCTGGACAGCCATTGTACGATGTGGCATCATATGTTATGCTCAAAGGACCTAATGGACACCCAGCCACTGTGGCCTCCCCACCATCGGAAACAATCTGCCCAGACTGATTCTTGCACCTCCAGAATGCCTGTAAATACAAATCAGAGTGAGATACTAACAGCTTACAGTGGTACTAATACTCCTTTTGACCCTATCACCCTGAGAAACCCGGTGTCTGACTACTCGTTTTTGAAATGAAGTCTTTGAGCAGCAGCCAATATGCCTATATAACTGCTTTGCTACTGGTTGTACCTGCACATTGTATAAACATGGTAGGTATGATTATATTTTCAAAATAGATATTACTATGTGCACGTTTTTTTTTTCCCTTAAACATATTAATGGGGTTTTGAAAAATTGATTTTTTTCACTGCTGTGGTGTCATAATAAATTTATGATGTCACTTTGCTCTCTGGGGCCTTGGCGTCACAAGGCAATCTCTGTAAGTGGTAAAACCATTTGATCTGCTGTCTGTGCATGTAATTTAGAATTGATTCAGTACTGACTTGTTCTTTTATGACCTCATTCCTGATTTTATCTCTTCTGGTCACTCATCCCATCCTTCTCAGACATCTTATTTCCATGGTTACTAATTTTCTTTCCTGGTTTGTTGTGAGTGGCAGCAATCAACTTTTGCAATGAGCCTCCAGGTGTGTTTTTTCCCCTACTTTCAGCATACATCTATTTGTAGTTGGGGGGGGGGGGGGGGGGTAACTGTGTGGTCTTGAGGCACTGGTGTCCACCTCGAGTGATAGAGGTTTTGGGTTCAATTCCCAGTAAGGGTTTGGATTTTTTCACGTGGACTTGGACTTATAGTAATTTTCCCTGGTCTTTGGGTAGTGAGATCAGATGCCCATGTGCATTGTTGCGCATGTAAAAAAATCCATTTGCAGTTGGAAATCGAAAAGAGTAGCCTAACGGCGCTGCTCAGACAAAATTTGAAGTTAAAAATCTACCCAAAGTATGTCAGGATCCTTGCCAGTGCTACAGAGCCTGTGCACTGTGCTGAGCTTCTTCAGACTCAGATGTGAGTTAGAAGACAAACCGAGCACTTACAGGTTACTACCAATGTGCTATATATTGATCCGATGTTCAAAACCTCAAATCTGTACAGAACAGGGCTATTCGACTAAGTTGACTCAGGAGCCAAAATGTTGACAATAAGAATTCTCACATGCCACAGACTCAAGTAAAGAAAGGTCATTAACCCTTTGGAGACGATGCGGCCTAAATATCAGCCCAACACAAAGTAGCCAAAAAGACGACTGTACCGTAATAGAAACCTTGATTTTGGCTGGCAGGTTTTCGTACCAGCCAAACAGACTGCTTCTTGTATTTCTTGCACATGTGGGTTGTTCATTGTCGGCTTTTGAGAAAGTTTGATGTGTTCTGTAATTTTATATCGATTTTTTTCTGGGGTTACCTGTGCCCAAAATGGCAAAAAAGGACTGTTGCGTCATAGCAACTGAAACATAGCTGGAGGCAGGAAAATGAGTAGAACCATGTGCCAGATGTGTGTGAAAGGCCTCAAAGGGCCTTACTTCACAAAATACAGGTGTTAGGACTTATTCAAGTTTCATCCATAAAAAATTCACCCACATTTTTCAGGTTAGTTATGTTTGTTGCCAAATTTGAAAAAAAAAATTGCTTGGATAAATTATGCAAATCAGAATAGTTAATTTGTATAAATCTTGAGATTTCACTTTGATTCATAAATATTCTGTTACTACACGAATATATATAGTTTTATATATGTTAATTAGAGGCTTTATTTTTTTATAATTTTTGTGTGTATAAACTATGAGAATCCCCTCCTGAAGGTTCCGTCTTCTTGGCAGCCGAAACTCAAAAAAAAATTTGTCTTGAAAGGGTTAATGTGATACAACTGGCAATGATATGTGTGCCACTTGCTAAGCCTCTGTAGGCCAGTGAGCCACCAGTTTTAAAAAGACCTGGTAAAGATAATCAAATAAAAAGATTGCTGGAAAGTTCAAAAGCACGTGTAGTCAATTTTTCAGAAGATCACAACACCTCTTTTTATTTAATTTTATCTGTTAATGTTTCTCCCAGCTCCTTCAAGTATTACAACACCACCCACCTGTATGTGCTCTCTATTGTGTCAACCTACCTTTTCATATGTTACAATGACTTTAGTCATGTTTCCCATGGGCATATGTTTCATGAAATCTACCCTCTCTTCTGATAAGCGAGGTAAGAATGCTATGTGTTCTGAAACAAAATTTCAGAAAAGAAACTGTTACACAATTAACATCACTGGGATACCGAAGACTGCTGAAGTCCAACAGAAAAATGTGTTTATAAGCATTTACTAGGATCTGTAATACACACGGGTAAACAAGGAGATACTCCACTAGACAATTTAAACAACTTAAAGTTACAGGCAAACCAGATTTGAGTATACCATGTCTAAATGTGCGGCGTCCGTGGCTTAGGTGTTGCGAGTCCGTCTCGTAATTCTAATGTACCGTGATCGAAACCCACTGCTGGCTGCGTGGATATCTATCATGGTATGAAGCGTCGCGGGTCGACCCAGCCTAAAACAGGTACCAGGATATATGTCCTGGGAAAGTAAAGGCCGCTGTCGTAATGCTGACCAAATTACCCATCTAGTGCCAATTGGTCTGTAAAAACATAGGTGCTCTACCCATATGCCTGATGCACCTGAGGCGTGAACAGGGATCTTTACTTTATTTTTGTTTTATGTCTAAATGTGCCAAAAATAAGTAAAAGTAGTAAAGGATCCTTTTCTCACCTTTTTGCATCAGGTATACAGTGCCAGATCTATATTTATGAAGTTTGATCTACACTTAACAGATATGTGGGGGAAGGGGGGTGGAACAGAAGAAAGTAAATAATTCTTTTGACATTAGATACACAAATTCTATTACTGACCCGTATCACAGCAAATACGCCCCAAAAGTGGCTTCACGACCACCCAAAAAACCTCTTATCTGGAAGGAATACGTAAGCTTGTTGACCATTTGGCAAAGTGCACAGATAAGGAGGGAGACAACATAGATAAATGATGTACATAGTGAAACCCTAGCTTCATGTAAATAAACTGTAGAATGAAACGTGTAGATAAGTTTTGACTCTCCCACATATGTTGATGAAACACTCTCTAGCAACTAATATTTCTGGAACATACCTAATGCTTTTGGTGGAGCAGCTAGAATAATATAAGGTGCACTTCCAGTCCAACCTTTTGCCGTTGATACCACAACTCTATTTTCAGACTGTTAGAAGATAATAACAAATAGATATCTTAGATTCTGTGTCTGCTTTAAAGTCTTAGCAATATAAAAAAAAATAAGTCAAACAAACTAGTCACCATTTTTGCCTATGCAATGGACATTGCTGGAAACCACAATGGTTTACTGGCTAGATGCAAGCATGCATATCTGAAAGTCGTGGGTTCGAATCCGAATGGAGCCAGACTTTTTTAACATGATCTTACTTCCCAGGCTGACCCAGCTTTGAGTGTGTATTAGGTAAAGTCCTGGGAAGTAAAAGCAGCCTTTGAAGGGTTCTTTAACTTTACTGGAAATTGCTGACTCAACAAACACTCATAAATAAGGTATGAGCCAAACAGCTCTCTGCCAGTGTCTTCGTGGTAAACAGACCCTAAAACATACCTTGTACTGAGGAGCTGTGAAGCATTCAGTAATCAAGAGGAGGTGTGAAGCATTCAGTAATCAAAGGCACTGTGAAGCATTCAGTAATCAGAGGAGCTGTGAAGCACTCAGTAATCAGAGGAGGTGTGAAGCACTCAGTAATCAGAGGAGCTGTGAAGCACTCAGTAATCAGAGGAGCTGTGAAGCATTCAGTAATCAGAGGAGCTGTGAAGCACTCAGTAATCAGAGGAGCTGTGAAGCATTCAGTAATCAGAGGAGCTGTGAAGCACTCAGTAATCAGAGGAGCTGTGAAGCAATCAGTAATCACAGCTGTGAAGCATTCAGTAATTAGAGGAGCTGTGAAACATTCAGTAATCAGAGCTGTGAAGCATTCAGTAATCAGAGGAGCTGTGAAACATTCAGTAATCAGAGGAGGTGTGAAGCAACATGAGGCCCCACCTAGTAACCCTGAGCTGACATCCCAGTTTATGACCTAGAGTGGATTAAGCACATGACCAGAGATCACAGAAGATGACATAACCAGTCAAAGGTGACATTATCATACATACTATTGTCTGGGAATTTAAAAAAGGGTGTAAATATAACTTGATTTGGCAAATGGCGAAAGTAATTTTCTTGCTAGAAAGGTCATTAATTTGCAAGTCTAGCTAGTTTCCTAATTCAAATGTAGATGTAAAGCTTCATATTTAGGTAGAATGGATGGATATCTGGAGTAACTAGTAGTTGAACACACACGTGTTAATTGGAGGAAAAAATTAAGCAAGAGAAAATTCTAGAAGTTATCTGTGACTGACTGGCTGAAAAGTCCACACTGTTCATGATCTTTTAAACTTTAATCATGAACTTAACAAAGAAAACACATTTTTCGTACTTTTCCTTTTTCTGTCCTTTACCAGCCAGTGGAGCACATATTGCCTTCAATCAACTCATGCCAACTTGTCCTGTCATTTTTAAAAACTTGCAACACACATTATGTAGTTTTTCACACTATATGTGAGTGAGTTGACATGCTTCTTTTTGCTGAAGTGGCAATATAACCCATTCCCGCCCAGTGTTGTGTACACAGAAGGACATGGCTGTAAGCTTGTTTTGTCAGATAAATAAATATGCTGTTGCTTGTGCCTTTGTTTAAAGTCTCTAGATGTGTTGCACTGTTGCACCTTAGGTCCACTCCATGTGATCTTGACTATAATTTCCTTGTGTGGGTTCCACAGTGGAGCTGTGGTGGTAGTGGTGGTGGGGGCAATTAGATCTACTGACTCTCCGAACAAACATGTCACAAAAGGTGACAAATTAGGGGTTCTGTGAAATTAGATATGTTGGGCCAAAAAGCACATACATCACAGTCTAGTTGTAAACCACAACACAATGTGAAAAATTGACCTTTTTTTTTTAGAGGTGAATGCATAAGAAGAATATAACTTGAAATAAATCTGACAGCCTATGGTGATAAACAGCAGTTAGAACTCAGTACCTGCTGAACAACTGTTACAGGGTCTCCAAGACGTACTGCGTGCTCTCCAATTCGTTCAGCTAAGATCTGGGATATCTGCTGTGCACCACCCTGGAATAAAACAAATTATTATAAACACAAGAATCACTAAACAGAAACTCAAAATGGACATTAATGAGTGAGACTAAAGGTGCTGGACTGAATTCCATTAATGTTTTCGGAGAGATCACGCAGGATAGAAAAGAATCGAGGAATTCTCTAAGTGGGTTCCAGGGCCCCATTGTGGGGAAAACAAGAACAGACCCACTGCGTGTGCCCAAAAAAGCATGTTGTAAGAGTCGACTAATTGGTAACTCGACTAAAAAGTAACTTGGAACATAGGTCTACTCCAATGGAAACTAAGTATGGTCAGCAGCAAAATGAGGAGGTGCAGCATTGACATTCTTGGAATGTGTAAACACAGGAATCAGCATCCTGTCCCAAAAAGCTGAGGTATTTAAACCCTGTTAAAAGTCATGGGAGCTGGAGAGAACAGTGATGGAGGGTACAGTTTCTAGGACAGTGAGGCACAGGCGGACTTCCGTGAAGGTGGACACAAGACACTGAAGATGCATTCAGACATCCGTGAAGGTGGATGCAAGACACTGAAGATGCATTCAGACTTCCGTGAAGGTGGATACAAGACACTGAAGATGCATTCAGACATCCGTGAAGGTGGATACAAGAAAGTGAAGATGCATTGGCTATGAAAGCACAAGGGCTGAAGAATAGGCTAAAACAAATTTCAGGCGTGCCATGACGAGAGCGACGTTCTATCAAAGACCTGCTGATTGATGAGATCACTGCACTAGGGAACTTCCGGCCAAAATGGAGGAAAGGCTTGGCAGAATGTTAAGCTTCAAAGTGATTTTTGCTTCCGACAGCGCTTTGCTAATGCAGTTTCCACATAAGGACAGTAGTCCACAGTTTCTCTGCCTGAGTTTGGTGCTTTGTTGCAGCCCTGTGAGCTGTGTTTTTCCTATGGAATGCCTTTCATTTGTGCAGCTGTTGTGTCATTTTGTTCAATATGGCCGGTGGCCGGTTTACACGTGGGCTGGTGAAATACCTTATGTAAGATTTCTATTTGTGTGTATAGTAACCAACTTATTGTGCCCGACCTACTTCCATCAACGACAAACTGCATTTCTGGTGGTGATTGTTGGCTTTGGCACCTCAAGCAACTGAAATGTGCATTTACTGCATGCACATATTTCTGGATTGTTCCGGAACTAGTTGTTTATTCACCAGTTTTTCAATGAGGGACATTTCATCTGGTTCGCACTGGCACAGGAAGGCAGCAAGTATGGGGAAACCTGACTGCGGTGATGTTGAAACCTCCTGGACTAACTAACTGCACTTGGGGCATTCTCATACTTGAGCTATCCTTTTCATTTTCAGCAGGCAACAATTGTCTTAGTTGCAAACCCAATCAAGGTGAAATTGTACAACTGAATGCGGACTCCCTAGTGGATCCAGCCTAACATGAGCACCAGAAAATGTAATTTGAAAGTGATTAGTGAGGCTATCATCACAGCACTTCCAGGCAGATCCACAGGTGCCTCAATCTCCTCAAAGGCTCCACAAATGTAAAATGACTGATGAAGCCCATTCTATGTTGATTAATCAAATGTCCTGTCCATACAGGGAAATTTTCATTTCTTGCAGCTCCAGGTTGCATCCGCATGACCATCTGTCTAGACAGGATACGGAGTCACGCCCTTTTCTGTATTCACCCTTGCGATTAGTGCTGAGCACTGCAGTGGATAACATAACTTCTGTTCAGTACTGGACCAGCCATAGCAACCCCAGTGTCAGCAAGATAATCTACACACTCGTTGCCTCAAACAACACATAACATTGCTAAAAAGATTACAGTTAGGCCAGCCATTTGCAAAGTTCTTAGTTGGCATCTGTGGCTTAGGCGCTTAGAACGCGATCGTCAATCCCGGGGGGTGACGGGTTTTTCAATCCCAGCTGCAGGCCTTGCAGTTTCTACAGTTTTCGAGAAGCCGACTGTCCCAGAAAAAAGCAAATTCACTGGACGTAAACTAAGCCTAGTGCCAAAAAAATGCTTGAGGTTGGTTTTTTTGAACTCCTGTAAAAGAATATGCAACTAACTTTAGTGATACAATCCCTTGTCAGATGAGCCCAGTCTAAATTTTCTTAAGCATATTCACTGAGTCACTAAGTGTGCCTTGTGTGTGTGTGAACTCCTGAGTACCCAGTCACATTAATGCCCCAGGAAGTAACAGTTGCCAGCATGATATTGGGTGAAAACTGGTCTATAAAAATATTAACTTAGCATGACATACCCACTATGCCAATGGTAAACAAGGGTCCTGCATACTTTCACTTTCATCAATATCATCAGCATCATCCTTTTGTGCTATCACATGGCACACAGGGCTTACAGTTTTTCTTTTCCATTCAGTTCCATCCTGTGCAACTGTGTCAATATCATGGTTGGAATTCAGGCTCTCTCTTCAATGTTTGTCTTAGGGGGAACTTTTACTGAACTTGGTGTATGTTTATACTAACAGTGTCACTTAGGGAGAAATTTGGTATAAAACATAAACAAGCAAGAGACTGCATGTCACCTGGATTTTCCACTCCTGAGCTGTGAAATCGGTAGCCTCAACTATGTTCTTGATCCCTCCAGCCATGTGAAGAAACAAAAGGTAATAAAGAAAGGATATCTGACTGGACTCGCATCCCAGAATGCATCTGACTGCTGCTTCATTGGCTGCTCTGGCACCTGGAAATACACCACATTAGAACAATTTAACACTAAACTAAGCACACATTTAGTGTTCACTTCTTTCTTTTTTTGTGTGTCATTCCTGCTTTTTTGGAGTGTTTGGTGGGTGTTCCGAGTGATGTGATGTTGATTCTTAATTCAACATCCAACATTCATTCCGGCTTTGTGCCAATAGGTACTGCAGTTTAAAAAAAATTATAGGTAGCCAAGCTACAGTGTGCTCGGTTGCTTGGTATGTTGTGATGATGTAAAGGCTAAGTTGTCAGCAACTCCACTGATTCATCTTCTTCTTAGTTTCCCTTTGTTTCTTAGTGCTTTCCTTTTCATACTGTGTGCTCTCACTGGCAGAAGCACTGGATTCATTCTCACTAAGAAGCCAAACCATTTAACTTTGTGTTTCTCAATAAATTTAACAATGGGCCTCTTCTTCGTTTTATTTCATTTTTGTCCACACAGCCTTTTTTAGTTTTCACTTTTTCTTTTTTTTTTTTTGTGTGTGTCATTTGCTGAAAGCTTTTTGGAGTGACAAAGTGTTTGGTGGGGGGGTGTTCCGAGTGATGTGATGTTGATTCTTAATTCAACATCCAACATTCATTTCCGGCTTTTGTGCCAATAGGTACTGCAGTTTAAAAAAAATTATAGGTAGCCGAGCTACAGTGTGCTCGGTTGCTTTGGTATGTTCTTTTTAGCATTTGATGATGTAAAAGGCTAAGTTTGTCAGCAACTCCACTGATTCATCTTCTTCTTAGTTTCCCTTTGTTTCTTAGTGCTTTCCTTTTCATACTGTGTGCTCTCACTGGCAGAAAGCACTGGATTCATTTCTCACTAAGAAAGCCAAACCATTTAACAATGTGTAAGTTTTGTTTTCTGTTTCATTCAATAAAAATTTAAACAATGGGCCTCTTCTTCGTTTTATTTGTCCAAATGACGTAATTTTTTCTCCTTATACAAGTCAAAACAGCCTTAACTTCCCCTCACACCTGTGACCCAAATCACTGTGCCACCAGAAGAAGAAAATAATACTGAAAAGCTCTGCAAAGGAAGTGTTAATTTAGTGAATACAAAGAGGTTCATGCTTCATAATGAGCTAAAACGCCTTTAAGCTCACTTGACTCACCTTTAGTACACAGTGTTCTGTCTAGATATGCAGCAAGACTTATGGCATCCCATTCCGCAGCGCGAGGGTGGGAACAAGGATCTTCTACAGACAGCTCAGACTGAAAGCGATCTAGCTGTGAACAATGTGCAAGTGTTAGTTGTCTACCTGTGTTAGCATTTAACTGTGAACAATGTGTAAGTGTTAGTCTTCTACTTTTGTTAGCATTTAACTATGAACAATGTGCAAGTGTTAGTCTTCTACCTGTGTTAGCATTTAACAGTGAACAATGTGCAAGTGTTAGTCTTCTACTTTTGTAAGCATTTAACTATGAACAATGTGTAAGTGTTAGTCTTCTACTTTTGTAAGCATTTATGAACTAGTGTTAAACAATGTGAACAATGTGTAAGTGTTAGTCTTCTACTTTTGTAAGCATTTAACAGTGAACAATGTGTAAGTGTTAGTCTTCTACTTTTGTAAGCATTTAACAGTGAACAATGTGTAAGTGTTAGTCTTCTACTTTTGTAAGCATTTAACTATGAACAATGTGTAAGTGTTAGTCTTCTACTTTTGTAAGCATTTAACTATGAACAATGTGCAAGTGTTAGTCTTCTACTTTTGTAAGCATTTAACAGTGAACAATGTGTAAGTGTTAGTCTTCTACTTTTGTAAGCATTTAACAGTGAACAATGTGTAAGTGTTAGTCTTCTACTTTTTGTAAGCATTTAACTATGAACAATGTGTAAGTGTTAGTCTTCTACTTTTGTAAGCATTTAACTATTGAACAATGTGTAAGTGTTAACTTTTGTAAGCATTAAGCATTTAACTATGAACAATGTGTAAGTGTTAGTCTTCTACTTTTGTAAGCATTTAACAGTGAACAATGTGTAAGTGTTAGTCTTCTACTTTTGTAAGCATTTAACAGTGAACAATGTGTAAGTGTTAGTCTTCTACTTTTGTAAGCATTTAACATGAACACATGTGTAAGTGTTAGTCTTCTACTTTTGTAAGCATTTAACAGTGAACAATGTGTAAGTGTTAGTCTTCTACTTTTGTAAGCATTTAACTATGAACAATGTGTAAGTGTTAGTCTTCTACTTTTGTAAGCATTTAACAGTGAACAATGTGTAAGTGTTAGTCTTCTACTTTTGTAAGCATTTAAACAGTGAACAATGTGTAAGTGTTAGTCTTCTACTTTTTTGTAAGCATTTAACAGTGAACAATGTGTAAGTGTTAGTCTTCTACTTTTGTAAGCAGCATTTAACTAGTGAACAATGTGTAAGTGTTAGTCTTCTACTTTTGTAAGCATTTAACTATGAACAATGTGTAAGTGTTAGTCTTCTACTTTTGTAAGCATTTAACAGTGAACAATGTGTAAGTGTTAGTCTTCTACTTTTGTAAGCATTTAACTATGAACAATGTGTAAGTGTTAGTCTTCTACTTTTGTAAGCATTTAACTATGAACAATGTGTAAGTGTTAGTCTTCTACTTTTGTAAGCATTTAACAGTGAACAATGTGTAAGTGTTAGTCTTCTATGTGTAAGTTTGTAAGCACTTTTTAAGCATTTAACAGTGAACAATGTGTAAGTGTTAGTCTTCTACTTTTGTAAGCATTTTTTAACAATGAACAATGTGTAAGTTTTAGTGTGAACTTCTAGTCTTCTACCTGTGTTAGCATTTAACAGTGAACAATGTGCAAGTGTTAGTCTTCTACTTTTGTAAGCATTTAACTATGAACAATGTGTAAGTGTTAGTCTTCTACTTTTGTAAGCATTTAACTATGAACAATGTGTAAGTGTTAGTCTTCTCTTCTAGCATTTTTGAACAATGTGTAAGCAGTCTTCTACTTTGGTAAGCATTTGTGAACAATGTGTAAGTGTTAGTCTTCTACTTTTGTAAGCATTTAACTATGAACAATGTGTAAGTGTTAGTCTTCTACTTTTGTAAGCATTTAACAGTGAACAATGTGTAAGTGTTAGTCTTCTACTTTTGTAAGCATTTAACTATGAACAATGTGTAAGTGTTAGTCTTCTACTTTTGTAAGCATTTAACTATGAACAATGTGTAAGTGTTAGTCTTCTACTTTTGTAAGCATTTAACAGTGAACAATGTGTAAGTGTTAGTCTTCTACTTTTGTAAGCATTTAACTAGTGAACAATGTGTAAGTGTTAGTCTTCTACTTTTGTAAGCATTTAACAGTGAACAATGTGTAAGTGTTAGTTTTCTACCTGTGTTAGCATTTAACAGTGAACAATGTGCAAGTGTTAGTCTTCTACCTGTGTTAGCATTTAACTATGAACAATGTGCAAGTGTTAGTCTTCTACCTGTGTTAGCATTTAACTATGAACAATGTGCAAGTGTTAGTCTTCTACTTTTGTTAGCATTTAACAGTGAACAAGTGTTAGTGCAAGTGTTAGCATTCTTCTACAATGTGTGTTAGCATTTAACTTTTGAACAATGTGAAACAATGTGTAAGTGTTAGTCTTCTACTTTTGTAAGCATTTAACTATGAACAATGTGTAAGTGTTAGTCTTCTACTTTTGTAAGCATTTAACTATGAACAATGTGTAAGTGTTAGAAGCATTTAACAATGAACAATGTACAAGTGTTAGTCTTCTACTTTTGTAAGCATTTAACTATGAACAATGTGTAAGTGTTAGTCTTCTACTTTTGTAAGCATTTAACTATGAACAATGTGTAAGTGTTAGTCTTCTACTTTTGTAAGCATTTAACTATGAACAATGTGTAAGTGTTAGTCTTCTACTTTTGTAAGCATTTAACAGTGAACAATGTGTAAGTGTTAGTCTTCTACTTTTGTAAGCATTTAACAGTGAACAATGTGTAAGTGTTAGTCTTCTACTTTTGTAAGCATTTAACAGTGAACAATGTGTAAGTGTTAGTCTTCTACTTTTGTAAGCATTTAACTATGAACAATGTGTAAGTGTTAGTCTTCTACTTTTGTAAGCATTTAACTATGAACAATGTGTAAGTGTTAGTCTTCTACTTTTGTAAGCATTTAACTATGAACAATGTGTAAGTGTTAGTCTTCTACTTTTGTAAGCATTTAACAGTGAACAATGTGTAAGTGTTAGTCTTCTACTTTTGTAAGCATTTAACTGTGTGAACAATGTGTAAGTGTTAGTCTTCTACTTTTGTAAGCATTTAACAGTGAACAATGTGTAAGTGTTAGTCTTCTACTTTTGTAAGCATTTAACTGTGTGAACAATGTGTAAGTGTTAGTCTTCTACTTTTGTAAGCATTTAACTGTGTGAACAATGTGTAAGTGTTAGTCTTCTACTTTTGTAAGCATTTAACAGTGAACAATGTGTAAGTGTTAGTCTTCTACTTTTGTAAGCATTTAACAGTGAACAATGTGTAAGTGTTAGTCTTCTACTTTTGTAAGCATTTAACTATGAACAATGTGTAAGTGTTAGTCTTCTACCAATAGTGAACAATGTGTAAGTGTTAGTCTTCTACTTGTTAGTGAAGCATGTTAACTAGTTGTGTAACATTTAAATGAACAATGTGTAAGTGTTAGTCTTCTACTTTTGTAAGCATTTAACTATGAACAATGTGTAAGTGTTAGTCTTCTACTTTTGTAAGCATTTAACTATGAACAATGTGTAAGTGTTAGTCTTCTACTTTTGTAAGCATTTAACTATGAACAATGTGTAAGTGTTAGTCTTCTACTTTTGTAAGCATTTAACTATGAACAATGTGTAAGTGTTAGTCTTCTACTTTTGTTAGCATTTAACTGTGAACAATGTGTAAGTGTTAGTCTTCTACTTTTGTAAGCATTTAACAGTGAACAATGTGTAAGTGTTAGTCTTCTACTTTTGTTAGCATTTAACTGTGAACAATGTGTAAGTGTTAGTCTTCTACTTTTGTAAGCATTTAACTGTGAACAATGTGTAAGTGTTAGTCTTCTACTTTTGTAAGCATTTAACTATGAACAATGTGTAAGTGTTAGTCTTCTACTTTTGTAAGCATTTAACTGTGAACAATGTGTAAGTGTTAGTCTTCTACTTTTGTAAGCATTTAACTGTGAACAATGTGCAAGTGTTAGTCTTCTACTTTTGTTAGCATTAAACTGTGAACAATGTAGCATTTAAAGTGAACAATGTGTAAGTGTTAGTCTTCTACCTTGTTAGTTTTCTTCTAACTGTTAGCACAATGTGAACAATGTGTGTAAGTGTTAGTCTTCTACGTGTTAGCATTTAACTGTGAGCAATGTGCAGGTGTTAGTCTTCTACAATTTTGTTAGTAGCATTAAACTGTGAACAATGTGCAAGTGTTAGTCTTCTACTTTTGTTAGCATTTAACTGTGAACAATGTGCAAGTGTTAGTTTTCTACTTTTGTTAGCATTTAACTGTGAACAATGTGCAAGTGTTAGTCTTCTAGTATTTTGTAAGCATTTGGCAACTGTAGAAAGGTGATAAACACAGTCTTCTATTTGTAAAGTGCAGTGATGTCAATTTAGTCTTCTATTTGTAAGCATTTAACAGTGAACAATGTGTAAGTGTTAGTCTTCTACTTTTGTAAGCATTTAACAGTGAACAATGTGTAAGTGTTAGTCTTCTACTTTTGTAAGCTATTTAACAGTGAACAATGTGTTAGCATTTTAGTCTTCTACTTTTGTAAGCATTTAACCATCAACATGATTTTGATACCAGTGTATAGTCTTTTTCTTTCTGTAAGCATTTAACTGAGCCCTTGAGGTGTCATTGCTTCTACTTTTGTAAGCGCCTCTGCTCATCTCTCTGATTGGCCCTCACTTTCCAGTTGGTGACACCAAGTGTTTGTAAGTCTGTCTGGACATTATCTCTGGATACCACTGTTCACCACCCTTAATTTCAGGAAAAACACCATGCAAGTACCAGAGCATGCAGCTGTAAAAGGAAATGAATAAGCTGATATGCTTGCAGGTAGGGCTGCCTGTGAAGGGTCAATGAGCAAGGGACTAGGCTGATATACTGAATATTCTACAAGACATCTGTGAGCATCAAATGATGACTGTGAATCTGCAGCCATGATCAGACTGCACATACAGCAGGTTAAAAGGAGTGAGACCAGGCAAGAGCAGCATGCAGGAAGCTAAAGAAGAAGAATAAACCAACAGAACTGATGTCATAAGATGCTACATTCCCCGTGTGGGTTCCGGGGACCTACTATGGGAAAAACAAGAATAGACCCACTGCCTACCAAAAAGCGTGTCGCAAGAGTCGACTAATTGGGAGCTTCCTTCGAAGTCGGAGTGCATCTGCCTGAGAGGCAAGGAACCAACAGTCTGAATACAGATCTGTCAAATGGATGCACACACAACACTCAGGTTCTGGAACAGGACTGCAGTCCAGAAGTGGACGAACAACCAGAACTTTCCGCCGGAGTTTACAGCCGGTGAACGAGAAGAAGAAGATGCTACACACTGAAGGATTTACTAAGGAGGGATCCAAGGACTTGTAGAATGATCTGTTTACTAACTGGATATTTTATGAACACTTCAGCATTCTGAGTTAGTACAACTGTATAAAACGTTAATGTGGTTAATATTCTATTTTAGTACTTTAGTTATCAGCAATGTGAATATGTTATTATATCTGAAAAATTAATGTGTCAGTATGCTATTTATGTTAGCATTGTAACTCTGAGCAATAAATACTCTGTGTGAACAATGAATATGTGTAAACTGTAAGCCATTAATCTGACTGTGTACAATAGATATGTGTAAACATGTCAACCATGAATGTGATTGTGAACAATGAATATGTGTAAACTGTAAGCCATTAATCTGACTGTGGACAATAGATATGTGTAAACATGTCAGCCATGAATGTGATTGTGAACAATGGATATGTTTAAAATGTGAGCGATTATTCTGACTGTGAACAATGGAAATGTGTAAACATGTCAACCATGAATGTGATTGTGAACAATGGATATGTGTAAACTGTAAGCCATTAATCTGACTGTGAACAATGGAAATGTGTAAACATGTCAACCATTAATGTGACTGTGAACAATGGATATGCACGTCTATCCAAATTGTGACCCTGACTGTGAACAATGGATATGTATAACTGTGTAAGCTGTGAATTTGACTTTAAACAATAGGCATGAAAAATATGTCAGCCATTAATCTGACTGTGAACAACAGATAAGCATACGTATCCAGACTGTGAGTTTGACTCCCTATGTTGGTTTCAGGGTCTCATTTTTAAGGGGGGGGGGAGGGGGGAACAGATCCACTGCCCTCTAACAAGTATGTATATGAGATCATAAATTCAGGTTTTGCTGAAATCGAATGAGTTGGGCTGAAAGACACAGGTATTGCAACCCAGCTGCAAATCACAACGCAATGTGCCAGCTGCCATTTAAGGGCAGCAGAAGAAGAAGTAGAAGGAGGAGGTGAAGGAGGAAGAGAAGAAAAAGAAGAGAGAAGGAGGAGAAGATGAAGAAGAAGACTTGAACAACAGATTTGTGTAAGCCATGAACCTGACTGAAATGTAAATATCCATGTTTTGCATCTGATGAAAAAAAATGAGTATGTGTAAGTTTTCTATCTGTGCAAGTAGAGTAAATTTCAGCAGAAAATCTTAATTAAATTTTTTTTAATGTAAAGAATGAGGAAAAATCAGCAACTTTTCAATAAATCACAGGGGAACAAAATAAACTGTATAACATAATTAAATGAAAGCACCTTAGTTAGTAGCCAGTGAAGATCCAACAAAGCCCAGAGAGACAAATCAGGTATTTCTGATGTGTATGATCGGACCCTAGTTTCTCCAAGTTGTTGGAACTTGGTGCCTTGGATAAACTGTGGGTATGTTTTCAGACCAAGCTCTTCCAGAAGTTTTATTATATGCACTTGCGACCTGAAGAAGGGAGACATTATGTGTTTAATAAACATCAGGTTACAAATTACCCAATAAACTCAATAACATCAGGACAGTCCAGCTGAAATTTGTCATTGTGTACCGTGCCAACAAACATACGTTAATGGTTTGTTATCTCACTAATACATGAGAATCACAGATGAGGTCAGTGCTCTTCTTCTGCCCAAGCCATGACGCCAAGCCATCCAAGTATTTGTTCTTCTGTCAACCTCTTCTCAAAATGCCTTTGGCTTCCTAGATCAACCCAGCATTGAGTGGGCACCAGTTATAGTCCTGGGAAGTAAAGGCAGCTGGCGTAATGTTGACCATGTCACCCAATGAGTGGCGATTAGTTTATAAAATATACATCTAGCCCTACATGCTCAATAAACCTGAACTGTGGAAAAGGGTCCTTTGCTTTTTATTTTTACTTTGACTTCCAGCCGCTGAATGTGAATCTGTGTCCACGTCAGTGCCTCTCGGTCTGTGAGACAGAGCGGACATGTGCGGGCGTGAGTGACCGTTTTTTTGTAATTATGTGTATTATTTTATCCTGTTGAAGAGTTTGGACTTTTCATTAGAATTTGGTGTCTTAATCAGAATGCTCCAATTGAATGTATTTAGTGGAGTAGAGATGGTGAGAGCCTAACTTGTAATGAACCTTGGCTTGACTTGGACTGCACTTTGGCTTACTACCTATTCGCTTTCGCCACGGCTCACTCTCTGGATGTTTACTGCTACAAACTTGTACTGCTTTAACGTCTAGGGTTGACAACACAAACGCCACTCAGCTTCTTGATACATTCTGTCAGTTTATTCTGGTCCATTTATTTCACATGTTCAAACATTGTTCACACTTTATCACTCGCGACATATTCCAACACTAACCATTCGCGCGACATAAAAACTACATCTTCAATTACTACAACCGTCTTCTCTGACTTCTCATGATCGACTGACCACGAGGCTAGCTCGGGCTTTCCCTCGCTTCCTCGACTAGGCACAAGTATCTCGTGCTGTCCCTTGTTGCATGGACTTTCTGCTTGCCACAATATAATCGTGAAGACCATGCACAGCACCTCATCACATAACTCTATATCTGACCACTGTGTTATTTCTTCTTCTTTGTCGAATTCACCAACTGAAAACTCCGACGGAAAGTTCTGGTTGTTTGTCCATTTCTGGACTGCAGTCCTATTCCAGAACCTGAGTTTTGTGTGTGTATCCGTTTTACAGATCTGACTAATTTGTATGCAGACTGCTGGTTCCTTGCCTCTCTGGCAGATGCACTCTGACTTTGAAGGAAGTTCCCTATTAGTCGACTCTTACGACATGCTTTTGGGTAGGCAGTGGGTCTATTCTTGTTTTCCCTATATTAGGCCCCAGAACCCACGCGGGGAACGTGTTATTTGACTGATTATAGTTCGCAGTGCTGGTCAATGCCAATGGCTGTTATGAATAATCTTGCAGGTCATGTGACATCAGCACTCTCAGACTGCGTCCTCGCAGGTCAGCCTGGCGTATACAGCAATAACTGCTGTTGTAGCTTATTGGTGACCCAAAACTGTGGGCACATAGCTGAGGCGTTTTTAAAAGGCTACTGATAAACCTAGGAGTGGGCCCGTAGGCCAAATGTGTCTTGTGGACTCTCGTCAAGTCAAGGCTAGAGGTCACCCATTGAGGGAGGGCCACCTTAGGAAGTATACCAATGGGTATCTGAGAGTATCAGACGGACAGTAGTTCTGCCATCACCAAATCATCTTCCTCGTACTGTGTTCGTCCAATAAAGAGACTGATGCACTATTATAGAGATGACTTTTAACATATTGTTGTTGACACTGTTATTAGACGATGAAACGAAAACAGTATGACTATGTGTAACTGTGTTGTCAATGTGCTCTACGGTAGGGAACCCAATTAATCATCGGATAGTTGACCTGGGAACATTTGTATAAATGGGTGAAGCACAATCATTACATTCTAGACACTTTGCCAGATATTTGATATACCCACTTCATATCGCATATTACAGAACCACAGTTTTAAAATGGCTTAGAAGTTTCAGTCGAATCTGTAACATTTATTAATTTAAGAACTCATGTCTTGCCAGTTAACTTACTTTTGAGTAAAAGCACCTGGATAAGAAGTATTACGGAAACAAAAAACAAGTCGGGTACAATGGGTTAACAAATAGGGTAACAAATGATTAGATTTAAAAAAAGTTCAAAGACAAAATCTTGGAAACAGCTGACTTGATGTAACACTTAGCTAGGACAAAAGTAGTTAGACAAGTAAGCAATGTTGAATAACAGGTGGTGTCACAATATTATAAACAATAAATTACAGGAAGACTAGGTCTCAAACCAGTCATACAATTTTTTTTTAGAGAACAACAGATAAATGGTTTGGGCTCTTTGATTAGAATACCCTGGTACCAACTGCCACAGAGAGACATGCTGAAGAAATATAATGAGCACAGAGCAAGGGGAAGACAAGCAAACAATGAAACAACAGCACCATCAACAAGCTTAGAGAAATGAAGACCAATTTACATGGCTCACTACAAAAAATCACTCATAAGTTCCTTGCTTGTCTCCAACATTTCACTGAGGTAAAGTGGCTTTGCTGAAACTGCGGTCTGTATCAGTTTTATCAAAAGAGACAGTGACTGACATTCTGTGTAGTTTTTGTTGGCACGGAAACAGAGCAACTATGGGGGTGACCTGTCTGTTATGAAACTGGATCTGCAATTACCTGATTTAACTGGAGAAAGAGAAGAAGTGACACCGATGTATGGTGTAGCCCAGTGATTCCCAAACTGTGCGCCGTGTCGCCCCGGGGAGCCATGACTTCTTCACAGAGCTTCATAATTAATTTAACCAAGACATGAATAGTCATACTTTTATTAGGTTAGGGCGCCGTGGAAAAATTGTAATTGAAAAAGGCGCTGCGACCAAGAAAAGTTGGAGAAACACTGGCGTAGCCAAAGAACTTATGGTGAGCTGCCTGGTAACAAATGTCTCAAAATAAAAATTGCACAAGAACTGGACACTGCCCTATATTTCATTACACTCTCACCTGCCTATCCATTGCCCTCCCAGATCCCAGTAATCTGTACCTGTAGATGAAATCAGAGGCACTGTCAGTGTTCTACCACCAACTCGATCTGAAAAATGAAAAATAAAGATATTATCAAAATGTGCTTGGGAGGCGCAGCAGTCTCGCATGCAGATTGGAAGGTCATGGGTTTCGCTTTTTGGCGGAGCCGGACATTTTTCAAAAATGCCCTTGACTCCCAGGTCAACCCAGATTTGAGTAGGTACTGGGTGCAGTCCTGGGAAGTAAAGGCGGCCGGCAGGATGCTGACCATATCACCCATTTTTGTGCTGTTTGGTCTATAAAAATATAGGTCTAGCCCTATATGCCTAAAGGTGTGGAAAAGGGTCCTTTACTTTACTTTTTTTTTTAAACAAAATGTGCTTGCCTTCTGGCTGAGTGATCAAGCGTTTAAATCTCTTCACAGGCGGGAATGCTTTTCACTGACCTGGCCTGCCAGGTTGGCCCAAACTAAATATCAGGAAAGTAAAGACATCTTGCACGGTTCCAATCACATCAACCTGTTGAATGTTGAATTAAGAAATGACATCGCCGTGGTCAGGACATTCCCATAATTGTTCTGAACCCATCTTGAGCAGCAAGCACAGAGTTCCAACAGCATGACTATATATTTGTCTTGCTTTTCCCTTGAGTGCCAGCCAATTCCCCTGGTCACTCCTCATAGCACCATTCTTCTCAGACCATAGTGATCTATATGTGTCTTCTTACTGTTCACTCACTCCCAAAGAACCCTTACTACATCTAGCTTGTCATGCATCAATTCACCATCAAGTGGTGCAGAGCCAGCCAGCCTATCTGTTTATTCCTTTCCCAACACACCGATATACCTAGAGAGAACAACCAAAGGGCACTAACTGGGTTCGTTTTACTGACATATTGGTTAGTTCATGAGTGCAATTTTACAGAGATCTCGGGGGATCATTGCTGGAGCTATATATATATATATATAGTTCATGCTTTGTGCGATACTCTTGGCAGAGAGCTAGGCATTTTGCGGAGAGATGCCGAGCCATATGTGACTACCTGGTGTAATGACAATGATGTCAATCCCTTCAACTTGAACTTCAAGTCTACAAAAAGGCTTGAACCTATGCTCCACCAATGACTTAAAAGACTGACCTCTTAACTAAGGACACAGTCACAGATGTATTGTGATGGAGTAAGTATTCACTCTTTGCCCAGCTCACTGTCCTTAGCAACATGTGCAAGTATGGAAGTACTGCATCTTGTCACTCTTTCATGTCATCAGTCCAGGTTGCACTCAATTGGTTCCTGCAGAGTTGCCCTTGAGAGGGACTTTACTCACCTTCATGACAAACTAGATGAGGTCAAGACCCTTTGCAAAAAGGTGAACAATGTGTGGTCAGGCCCCTTTGCGAGAAGGTGAACAATGTGTGATCAAGGCCCTTTGCGAGAAGGAAAACACTTATGGTCAAGGCCCTTTGTGAGAAGGTGAACAATGTGTGATCAAGGCCCTTTGCAAAAAGGTGAACAATGTGTGGTCAGGAACCTTTGAGAGAAGGTGAACAATGTGTGGTCAGAATCCTTTGCGAGAAGGTGAACAATGTGTGGTCAAGGTCCCTCGTGAGAAGGTGAACAATGTGTGATCAAGGCCCTTTGCGAGAAGGAAAACACTTATGGTCAAGGCCCTTTGCGAGAAGGTGAACAATGTGTGGTCAGGACCCTTTGTGAAAAAGGCGAACAATGCATGAGCAGGAAGAGATAATTAACTGATTCTGGAGAGAACAGTGTAGCAGGGAGTGACCCAAGGATCTGGCCAACACTCTACATTCAGAGGAAAGGCAAGTCAGTCATTTAATCAAATTGCTACTGGTACTATCAGAAATGGAACCCTGCAATGGCTGCTGAAGATGGGAACATACTGAGTGCTGTGATGCTGGTTCTTAACCCAATTCAACTCTCACATAATGATGTACTGAATACAAGAAACATTATTATACCTTTGCCTTCAAGAACAACAACTTTTGCCTCAGGATCTCTCTTCTTGATACTGAAAGCAGCTGTCAAGCCAGATATACCAGCACCCACCACAATAACATCAAAGTTATTTTCTGTCATGACGTCTGACATTCTGAAAAAAAATAGGAATTTAAATTACACTGCCATCATCTTCTTCCTCTGCTTCTAGACCAGCGGTTCTCAGTTAGCTAAGACTTGCGGACGTCTCTTATTTTCAAAGGCCTACCACAGAACTCATATTTTATAATACAGTACACCTCATTAACATGAACTAGTTTAGGAAGAATACTCAGTTAATAAACAAAGTTACGGTCCCAACAGGGTTGTATCATTATTATTAGTCCCTGATTAGGAAACAGACAAAACCCAAATGTTGACAACAACGGTCCTGAAATCCTATGCTTTAATTGTGGAAGACTTTTCTCAATGTGGGCGGGTCTTGCTAGTCACATTCGCCATTGCCATGGGCAGTGAGTCCCACACCTCCTCATAGCACAATATCATCTGGAAAGATATCAATCACCTATCGCCAGTTAGCACAAATTTATTTTACAAAACCTCTTGATTTTCAGTTTTTAGAATTTGTTAACAAGGTTTTACTCATAATGCAAAACTTATAAAAATTAAAACACAAAAAGGATTGCATCCTTAAGCTGATGTTTTATTTTTGTTAATGATATCATCATGGATCCCTTTTTTTTAAATTATTGGCTCTCCTCCGAATAACAGTCCCAAATGATCTACTCAGAAAGTGAACCCAAACAGAGCCTCATTATGTCCTACAAACATTTAAAAAGTGTAGCTCAGAAAAAATAAGGAACAAAAAGTGTAAGGAAAAGGGCAAAGTCTACTACTTACCGAAAATTAAATTCTTTAAATGTGAAAATTGTGGCACAGAAGTTGCAAATAGTGCGCGAATATATGTTCTTTCTCGCTGTCCGCCATTGCAACTCAGCACTGCTTGTCCGCGATTCTCGTTCCTGGCGAGACATGATCAGTAATGCCCGGTTTAATGTACGCGCATGTCGCCTTGGGACAACTTCAAGCCAGCAGCCGCCACGATGACGCTCCACTATCCCGACCACCCCTTGACCGTGGCGAATGCGAGCACGCTGCTACTTCCGACAGAAGAAGTAGCTTCTGTAAATTGTAGACTTTTTTTCGGCGACTATAGTGCCACCTCCGAGAGTATAGCGGCGCGGAAGGGGCTAAACTAGATGGCTAGGACTCACGAGCAGCAGCTACCGCAGCTCCTGCAGCTTCCTCCAATGTATTTGCGCGGGGGGATACGCTCGGAGGTGGCACTATAGTCGCCGAAAAGCGGTCCACAACTTACATATAACTCGTGTCCAGCCGCACGATAGCGCTATCTGGAGTATTCTTGCGTGTCACTAATTTTTTATCCGCAGTTAATCCTAGTTTTGCCGCCGTTTAATCGTTGTAAAAAAATCTGTTGCGTTTAGCGAAAATGTTGTGCGCAATTAATCCTACTTTTGACGGGGTTGATTGGCCACAAAAAATATGTGAATTTTAGATATGAGTGAGGCTCTGTTAGGGTTTACTTTCTGCATAGATCATTTGGGACCGTTATTAGGAGTAGAGCCAAATTATTATACCAGGTTGCCGGGTCAAATCCCAGCTGCCTTGTGTTGATTCTGACAGTGGTATTGAGAGCCGAACATTCAGTGCAATGGCAAACTACAGCATGTAAATATGTCTAGAAAAACCACAACAGCCAAAAACAAAAAAAAAAAAGACATTCTGGGGTTGGTTCTGCAACATTCTTAAAGAGCAAGCAACTTTTTTCTGCACATTAAATAGTGGCAATGCGTCTGCTTCAAGGACATTTCACGTCACACTAAAACTATATGAAGCTATTATTATAATGACACTATTTGCAAGTGTCCGTGTAATTAATTCTAAATGGCAAAATAAACCGTTAAATAAGAACAAAACTTGACTGTTAACTGAGTTAACAAAAGTGTCCGCAATTGTCATGGAAACAATTTACCACTAAATAATTTAGTTTATTTACTTAATTTACATTAAATTTAATATCTCGTTCGTCTTCTATGAGACTCTCTGAGACAGTTGGGTCAGCAAATGTTTATGCAGCAGCCTGTTCCATTAACGCAGTCTTGTAGAATACCAGTAATCTGTTAAGCCCAGGGTCTTGTCAGACTTGCAGCGTATGCACACAGAGAGTAGACTTGGTTTCTCTGATCGTCGTCCGCTCCGCTGTCCCTCGGCCGATAACTCTGCAATAAACATATGAGAAACTTACAGTGGTCTCCCTTCTTATGTCGTCTGGCTCGATGGTTTCTGTGTAAACAGTAAGGAAATTGTAAATTGAAGTGCGGTTGATCTGGATTTTTATTAACTCATTTAGTATGTGACATTTAAAAAGCCCCTTAATCTGTCACTATCTTTTTTTTTTGAAAAGGTTTTGCTTTTAAGTATACTGACTACTACATTATAGCAATCGACAGGGTCATGCGCAAGTGCATAATAACGCAAATTTGGACATTATGATTACATGGGTTGACAAAATTCTGGAAGACCAAGACTAAGACTTCGCCGACGACATAGCACTCCTGAGTTCAGAACACACAGACGCCCAAGAAAAAACCAATCTTCTCCAGAATTTCTCAGAACAAATTGGACTCCAAATTAACACCGCAAAAACAAAAATTCTAGACCTTACCAACAGTTCAGTTGATATCACGCTGAACAACAACAGCCTTGAAAAAGTCAACAATTTCACTTATCTAGGGAGCAAGATGTCATCTACAGAAGATACCGCACCAGAAATACCATTTAGAATAGCACTGGCATCTAGTGCCTTCAATAAACTGTCCAACATCTGGAAATCAAAGACACTTAGCAAACACACAAAACTTAAGATCTTCAATTCTTGTGTGATTCCAGTACTAACCTATGGATGCGAGAGCTGGAAATCAACGAAAACTCTAGACACAAAATTAGACAGTTTTGAAAATAAATGCCTTAGAAGAATACTAAATTTCAAATGGTCAGATTTCTGAACCAATACACAAATAAGGCAAGAATCCAGACAAGAGTATGTGTCTAATTTTATACGAAAACGCCGCTGGAACTATGTCGGCCACGCCCTTAGAATGGATAAATCAAGACTTCCTTACCAAGCCCTCATTTGGACACCACAGGGGAAAAGATCTCGTGGAAGACCAAGGGAAACCCTACGTAGAACTATCATCAGGGAAGGCTCACTCATGGGCCACCTAAACATCCAAAACCTACAACAGATTGCAACGAACCGCCATGCATGGAGAGTCATGACCTCTGCCCTAAATGCCGCACTCGACACAAGAGGAAAGACTAACTAACTAACTACTACATTTATTGTATTGTCTTTTGTGGATCAAACGTACGAATACGATCAGTGGTTGTTTTTTTTGGGGGAGGGGGGAGACGAATTTAATTTTAAGAATTTTATATTTTAATATTATATTAATTATTATTTATTCTTTCGCTAATTTAATTGCTCTCTAGTACTGAAATCTTAATTGTCTGTGTTGTGAATTTAGACTAATTATCAGCACACACAAAAGACACATTATCGTGTAGAGTTTATATATCTACATATATGTTGACTTGCAATCTTGGTGAAGACAGAGTGGCTCGGCAGGATATTTTTGGCCGCCATCTTTACCGCCCGTTATTCGGAGTATAGCCAAACGGGTTTAGGAAAACATAAAAAAAGCACATGATTAAAACTAAAATTCGGCTCTCCTCCGAACTTCTACTCGATATTATGGCGGCCAAGCAAATAGCCTAACAGGGCCTCAGTTGTGTGTAGTATAAAATGACAAAAATCAAACCCAACTGTCTGTTTTACCAGAGCAGCCGCAGTATCAGAATCATGTCTTTTTGTATACAATGTTCAGTGCGGAGTAGCGAATCACAGCGGCTTCAATAAATCTTAAGAGTTCTTCCATTGTCTGACTTGTGAAGGAGTTAAAATGCAAAATATGCCAGGCGTTATATTGTGCAATCTGTTGTTTGTGTCTTCTTTATGAAAATTTACAGTGAGGAAACACTGCTTTGATTTAATAATGTTTGAATGAATATGGACTGACATAAATAAATTGTATTAAATTGTTTCCCTTTATTTCTTGTGTGTGCCGCATGTAGAACTTGCCCAATGAGACTGTGCCACCATGTTGAGGATGATCCTGGGAAGACGGTGGAAACGTTGGGTTCGCCTGATGTTACTGCTATTGTGTTTATTTCTTATCTGGGAGTATGCACAAGACCTGCTGCCATCTTTTGATAATATGGACAATTCTGGGGTGAAGATCAGAAAAGTGTTCGACCACTGGGGTAAAGATGAGACAGATATTAACTGGTTGCCAACTCTCTTGGCTAAAAGGACACAGGAGATTCCTCTTGTAGTTGTAGAGGAGCATTATGAAGGTAAACTTGAATGTTGGTTCTTCTATTTATGAACATTTTTGTCTTTGAGTCTCAGGAGATGTGGATGTGTCGAAGAATATGTAATATTTTGTATCAATAAAGCAGTCAAAAACAGAGATTCTGTAAAGACTAAGAATGAAAAAGTTGGATGTTGAAAAAGAAAAAAAGACATATTTTGACCAATTGAAAAGATATAGCGTTCTTATAAAAAAAATTATTTTGGGGGGAAACTTGAAAACAATCAAGCAGAAGGCAGACATTGATACAAACAGGAGGATAACCTTAAGAAATGGATAAACAGCCGTCTGAGAGAGTGCATCCAAGGCAAAAGACAGTGCGTGTGGAGATTCATTGCAGCCAACTTTTGTTGGGGTGATGGCCCTTGACGTATTGTTTTTAAAAAGATCAAGATCTTCTTTTCCAGAATTCACCCTTAAAAGGCCGGTTGGCAGATTGTGTTGTGGTTTAATTAGCTATGCTGCAATATTTACGCCTTTTGACCCACTACATCCGATTACAACAAACTCGGAATAAGTTGCATTTTACAGCATGTTATATATTTAATAAACAAACAGACAAGGTATTAATTGTCACTCATAGAAAGAGGTAGATAGATAGACTGACACACTAGACAACATAAAATTTGACTATAGTAGCTTTTTTGTGTGTTATCTGTTGTGTTCTTCTATCCTTCTACTTCTTTCTATAAATGCTGTTTAATACATTATCTGTTTTATATATATATTTCTACAACCTCAAGGGTCCCCCCTCTGATTATTTATGTGTTTTTACAGCATGCTTGTTAAAGGACAGTAAGTGTATCAGATATTGGTTCAGGTGTTATAAGATCACATTTATATGAGAAATGCATGACTGCCATGTCTGTTCCTTTCAGGCAAATAAGTCCAGTTTCGGCAAATCCTTAATTAGGTGGCTTTTATGGCATGCTTGTCAAGGGCAGTGAATGTATCCAGTTTTAATTCAAGTATTGTAAGATTTGATGTGTATGAGAAATTCTAGATTGCTATTATTATTTTTATAATCCATGACATATGGTGTTGATAGTTGTGACTTACTACAGGCTTCTGTCTCATGTATTTTTTAGTCATTTCTGACACATGATCTTTCATGCCACAATGTCAGACTGCCCAACATCTGCCCTCTCTGTCTCCCTCTACCTCTTTTCCCCTTGAATTTTCCCTCTAGTCACGATGTATACTAGTTTTCTCTTTCATGTGATGTGACTGCTCAGACACAGAGAAATAACATAATTTATATATACATATATATATATATATATATATATATATATATATATATATATATATATATATATATATATATATATATATATATATATATATAAAATGTTTTTTTTTTTATTTAAAAAAAAAAAAAAAAAGAAATGTAGTTATCCCATTGGGGGGGGGGGGGGGGGGGGACTCTATGTCTAAACATTATTGAACCCTAAGGTGCGAATTATTTGCAATTTGAACAGATCCACTCATTAAATTACAAAAGATTTTTGAATGTTAAAATTATGTTATTCTTTTCAGTATCTGGGTTGGGGGGGGGGGGGGGATTAGTAGTATAGTATTTCATTGACATTTGTATCAAATACTTCAGTCACACACACACACAATTTAATATGGCTCTGTTGGAGCCATTCTAGTGAACTTATAACCTTTTGTTTCTCTTAGCTGAAACTGTTTGTTTCAGTTAGGACACCTCCCTTGACCTGCAACCTTGTTATACATTTGTTGGCTAAAACTGTGAGAAACCTGCTTAATTCTGTTGAACTGTGTTTAATAATATTAGGGTACCTGCTGCTGTCTGCGAGAATACATGTTGAGGTCATTTGTATTGCAATGATAGGTGGTACCCGGTGCTGAAAATTTGCTCTTACACATGCACACACTCAGACAGATTTTTTATGATAAAAACAGTTTTGCACATATACCCCACCCCAGTCCTTCCCAAGTGATGACACCTGGTGTAGCCAGCACCCCCCCCCCCCCCCTCCCCTTTTCCTACACCACTGGTTGGACTCCAATCTCTTCTACGCTATGGCGGCACTACTGTCTGAAAACCATGAGAACAATTTCTTATTACAATACTGAATCTGCGTTATTTATATAAAAACAAAAATTATGTCATCAGTAAACAAAGCACACCAACCAGGTATCACAATTGAAAATGAAGAAATTGAAAATTGAACAGATTTAGAATACTTGGGCTCTTTAGTGAACAACAGTGGCGACTGCTCAAAAGAAGTCAGAAGAAGACTTGCATTGGAAATGCAGAGATTAAATAGCATAAAGAACCTATGACAAAGCACTAGTAAATTGGTTAAAGTAAAAAATCTTGAGATCATGCATTTTTCCTATGGCAACTTACGGTTGTGAGTCCTGGACTCTCATCAGTCACTGAGGAAAAAGATTGGAGCTTTTAAATTGAAATGTTATAGAAATATTCTTAGAATACTATGGATCAGGAAGAGGAAAAACATCAACATTCTGAACGAGTTGAACATCAAGGAGAACTGGCTCATGAACACCATCCTGTCCCGAAAGTTGAAGTATTTTGGCCACATCAAGCGTCATGGTGGCTTGGAAAAGATAGTGATGGAAGGCAAGGCAGGGGTCGACCACCGCAGAGATGGATACAGGACATTAAAGATGCAGTGGCATTGAAAGCACATGGGGCCTGAGAGCTGGCTAGGGAAAGGGATACTTTCAGGCATGCCGGAAGAGAGTGACGTTTTGTAAAGGACTTGCTGATTGATGATGATATAAACCTTCTACCTTCCTGTAGTTCTCAAATACTGGTTTCAAGCTGCTGATCTGGGCATCATTCCATTGTCCAAGAATATATTGGTAAGTGTATGCTATCTTTTCATTGACTTAAGAATTAATTGTGTGTTTATGGTAGTGGATATTTTGGCAGCAGACAGCATCTTTAGTTCCAGTTCCAGTTTGTTTGAAAAAAAACAAAAGTTCTAGTCGCCCTAACCAGCTCCAACAATGAGCGGCGGTTATGTTGGGACTGCAGTTTCTTGCTTGGGATTTCCAATAGTTTTTTTCAATTGCGACATTGGTTCACCTCTTGAAGTGGTTTCCTTGCATATATCTGCTATACTGGCTGTGATTGGGAGTGGGAGCCTACTAGTCCTGAGAAGGACTAATAGAGTTTGCCTGGGGCGGCCTCGATCGGGGTAGGGTGGGAGTAGATTTGATGGTCGACATCATGCCTGGCTGGTCGCAGGCAGTGGGTTTTTCTCCATTCCGGTGAGCTGGTTTCGCGAGCTGTCATGGCGGCTTGCGGGGTTTCTATTGGTTGCTGGTTTCTGCTTGTGTGGTCGCTGGTGTGTTTATCAGTTCTTTGGTCGGCGTTGTTGTTTCTGTTTATTCGCCTGGCTCCATCCATTGTTGGGTGTCTTTTTCCTGTTAAGGACCATCTGCGCTCTTTGCATTTCTGCGAGGAGTTTGGCTTGGAATTCCCTATATCCGTCGTATTGTTCTGGATCGTTCAGTTCTGGGTTGTTGAAATCACTTTCTTTGTCATATTCTGTTAGGCGCCAAACGCCTTCCCTCCTCCATTCTCCCTGGTTAGGGTACATCAACTCGTTCATGAGTCCTTCCAAGTCTTTGGTATAGGCTGGTGTCATATCCTCATCTGTGACGAGATCTGGCATTTCGAATTTCATGCATTCTTGGTCTTCATCCGTTAGCTGCGCTGGAACTTCTGCCTCTGCATATTCTGTTTCAGTGTATTGATCTTTGCATATGGTGGGTTCTGTTGTTTGCGCCTGGTGCCTGGTCGTTATCGCTTCAGTGACTGTGCTCTTGTCGGCCCTGCTTATGGTTGGTTTTACGGCTGGTGCCTTACTTCTCTCTGCGAGTAGGAGTTCGCGTTCTTGCTTTGCAAGAAATCGTGCGGCTTTTAATCGTGCTTAAAATCGTGCGGCTTGGAGCAGTAACGGCATGCTGGGCTGCTGCGACAATTTGCGGCTGTGTGCCACGCCTTGTTGCAGCGTGAGCGCTGAACAACTTCTGCACTGTGGGTTCCCGGTCGCTGCTGCTGCTGCCTGTGTGGGCGGGTGTAGGAGTGCTTCTGCGCCATGACTGGCGCGACTTCTGAGAGTGATGCTGCCTCGACAGGGGCTACATCCAGGGTTGGCGGCGTCTGGGTGGGCGAGGTTGGTGAATCGACCGGGGCGTCAATCAGTTCTGGCATCGTCTGCACCGTAGGGGCTGGTGCGATGACAGGTGCTGCTTCGTTGGCTGACGTTGGTCTAGGATCCTGGCTCGGCTTCTTCTGGCTGGATTTGCCACGGGCCATAATTGATGTGACTGTGGCTGGCGAGAGCTGTACTGATCAGGCTGCTGTTGAAAGCTCGATCCCTGCAGAGTCCACAAGGCTTGTTAAGTGCTCTGAAAAGGGCAACAAGCGTGTTTTCTCCGCAGTTCACGAGACAATCATTTACAAATGGATGTTACAACTGACTCCTCAACAATGATGTGCTCACGGGCTGCTAATAACCCAAACGCAGACGACCCCGATAGCGTAGTCGAGCCAAACTCAGCCGAATATCAAGCGAGTATTGACCAGTATCTAGCTATAGAGAATCAGGCTACGAATGGGTAGTTAGCGGGCGGACGAGAGACACAAGTGGCTGATCGGGCGGTTGAGCGAGCGAGTGTTGGTCCTGAAGTATGTTGTTCGATGAACATCTTTAGGAATCGGTGACCATTTATATACATTCCAGTGCATACAGAGGGGTGTCACAAAATAATTGTATATTGTAACTTGATTTGTTTGCCTAGGTAACATATTCTTCTTCCCCTCCTTTTTCTTTCACTCCTTCTTTTTCTTCGACATTCCAAGCCCTTTAGGTTGATGGCTGCAGATATTACCCACCTCCATTCATCTCTATAAATGGCCTTTCTTTTTCAGTTGGTGATTCCAAGTGTTTATAGTCAGTTAGTCAGTAGACTGTCTATTGCAGAACCTTGCTCCTATGACAACCTTTCAGATCACAAGCAAGATGTCCCACGTCAGCTACACCCATCTGGAGATCATCCCCAACATCCTGCTTCCATCTTCTCTTTAGCCTTCCTCTTCCTCTCTTTCCAGGCATGTACCCCTCCATTATTATTCTCTCTGAACTTTCCTGACTTTTCAAGTGGCCAAAATATTTCAATTTTCTGTGTTTTATCATCTTTAAAAGCCAACATTCTTCAGTATTCAGTTCTTGAAGTATTGATGCATTTGTTTTTTTCTTTACCCACGATATTCTTAGAGCCTGTCAATAACATTTGTATTCAAGGGCATTTATGCGCTGTTCAGCTTGTTTAGTGTTTAGTAAGTGTCCAGGTCTCACAAGGGTATGTTGCAGTGGGAAAGAATGTGTGCTCTTAGAAATCTAATTTTTGTAGTTTTGTCTGTCCAACTCCATAATTTATTCAGTTTTAGTCTTTGAAGAGCAGTTGATAGTCATCGTTTAATTTAGTGCATTGCGTCACCATTGTTGGTAATCAGTGACCCAAGACATTCAAAATTGTTCACAACCTCCAGTCTTTCTTCATTAACATTTAAGTGTTTAAAAGTCTGTATATTATCTCTCTGGACAATCAGTGAAAAAGAAGAAAATCTCTGAGGCATCATGGATGTGGTTTTACATTGGGTAGCATTTTTTTTTAAGGGAAGCTTTCTAAATTTCTCAAGAGAGGTGAAGACACAAAAACAAGTCAACACTAACATTAGAAAGATGTAGTTACCTATCCCCCCCCCCCCCCTCTCTTCCCCCCCCCCTTCTTATGTTTCAATAATTCTGGGTAGGAGAAGACAAAAATATCCGAAAATGCACATTTAAAATAATATGTAAAAAGCCACCCTTAGATTTGCCTGCAGTGTATAAATTAAACATGAAGCAGTTATACCAGCTGAAGAGGAAATGCAAAACTAACAGCAGCTGCAGGAGGAGTGCATCAAGGATGTTTGCTATCTCAGGGGCTTTTTAATGCATACCCATAAATTATGATGAAAAAAGGCAGTTGAAAGATCATGCACCCTGCTGTTCTGGTCAGGTAAAGATAACTCATTATACAGAAGAGATTCATAGAAATCTGCTTCTTCTTTTTTTTCTCTTGACCTTGTTCTGTCTTTCAACGTCATGTTTTGTAGAGGCATCTGATGCGAGCCTAGAGGGGTGCTACATAGATGCTGGTATTCACAAACTCGGATATGCCATCCCTTGCATGGGGAACCTCTGGCTCTGCTTCTCTTGTGTCTGATGGCAGGACTGTCTTTGTGCACTGTCTTCTGGTAGTCTTGTTATATGCCCTTGGATCTCTTGTCTCTTAGTGTGATTTAGTAGTGGTTTCATCCCAGCATGTTTCCTGATACCGTCATTAGTGATCCTGTCCCTTCTTGCTACATTTAGGATTCATTGTAGACATTTTAAATCTGTTGTTTCAGTTTTTTGTGTTGTTGTTATTGTCCACATTTGGTACTGGCAACACAGTGTTGGTAAAACTACTGTAGGGGTTTTTGTTTTAGTGACAGGTATTACACGTTTGTTCTGCAGTATTGATAACATCTTCCTAAAAAGCCATAGTAAAATTATGTTCTTTTAAGTGATGTAATAGTAAACATGTTTATGTACATATATTTATCTTTTTAATAACAGATCCACATAGATGGCCATGTTGATGGTGCTATACCTTTTGACACTGACAGTCTTCCTGTTTTCCGTTATCCACAAAGTAGACAGGAAATCCACAATATGATGCAAAGAAATGATATGTTCATTGTGGTAAGCAGTGTCATCTTTTTTTTTTTAACCTGTGTCAGCTGTTTCACAGTCCAAACATTCCAGGTTCAAAGTCAAATATAGGCAATTTGCACATGTTGAGACATGATTTGATTGCAAAAACTGTACTTCAGGGAAAATATATGGGTTGTCAAAGAAGAGGAGGGCAAAGAAGAACCTGGAAACACAAGACAACATCAAGAAATGGACATACATTTGTTCTTCATGCAGAAAGACAAAGATGATGGGTTTTGTGCGCTAGTGCTTGCAACGATACACCTCCACCACTCTGATGGATCAAACATTATGTTATATTATGTTATGTAGGCAGTTTTGCTTGCGTAATTGAAGGCTAAGAGCTGAATATCCTAAAGAAGCTTATAAAATACATATGATGGCAACAATGGTCCTGAAATCTTTTGCTCTAGTTGTGGAAGAATTGTCTCAACATTATCTGGTCTTGCTAGTCACACTGGCCATCACCGTTGGTGGTGATTCCCATGCTTTCCTATAGCACAGTGTAACTCTTTCATCTGAAGAGATGGAGGGGTGATTCCAATGCTTTCCTAAAACAAACTGTAACTCTATCATCTGGAGAGATGAAAGGGTGAGTCCCATGCTTTCCTATAACACACTGTCACTCTTTTATGTGGAGAGGTGGAAGGATGATTCCCATACTTTCTTATAACACGCTAACTCTACCATCTGGAGAGATGGAAGAGTGATTCCCAAGCTTTACTATAACACAATGTAACTCTATCATCTGGAGAGGTGGAAGGGTGATTCCCATGCTTTCCTATAACACAGTGTAACTCTATCATCTGGAGAGATGGAGGGGTGTAAACAACTGCTTTGTTTTAATTTTGGCCACAGCATATACACTGTAATATTGAGAAAGTAATGGCAAACTACTGAATGTAAAATTGCCTAGTAAAGCCATACAGCAACCAATAAATAATGCGGTTGGTTTGCAATATTTTGAAGAATTCATGACCTCCGGATCTGCAGGAAAGTATCTATCCGCTACACCACGATGCCTCCTAGCGACTGATTAAAAACATCTGATTTCAAAAGGTACAAGCTGTAAACCAGGACAATAGTGCCCTTCCAAGTGCTGCAGAAGAAACCTGGGCCCTCATCTACTTTCTCAAACCCTTAATTGTTGCTACAACCTATCTTACTTTCTCAACTGTTGTTTATTTCTTGTCTGTTTGTATGTTATACTTTCTTGCATATTCTACTTCCTCCTGTTCATTCCTCAGAGTGGGTTCCAGGGCCCATTTTGGGGGAAGGGGGAAATTAGACCCACTGACCCACTAACAAGTATGTTGTAAAAGTTGACTAATTAGAGATGTTTCCTTCAAAATCGGAGTACATCGCCTGAGAGGGGAAGCATCAATAGTCTGCTTACAGATAAAACATTTGTAAAATGGATGTCCTTGCAAAGCTTAAGTTCTGGAACAAGACTAAAGTCCAGAAGTAAATGAACAACACTCCCCACCCCCTCCCTTCTCCAGGGGATCGAATTACAGCCGGTGAACAAGAAAAAAAAAATAAGGTTGCTCTTATAAGTCTGATTATTCTTCTTACATATATTACTTATCCGTTGCTTGTTAAAAAATGCTGGCCTTGTGTTTCAGATAGCAGCTTTGACGGGTTTTGTAAATCATGTGATTTGGATATGGCCAAGCTGGGATGTTGATAATCATGATGGGGCAGAGCAGAACCACCTAACCTTAGACATAGAAATGGGTTACATAGAGATAACAGTCCCAGAGGAGATGAACAGACACAAGCTGGACTTGTGTGCCTGTTGGAGGCCCCAAGAAAGTGACAAAGGTACCAAAACAAACAAAGGCATAGAAGCTTCATGGGAGTGCCACAGAAGAAACTTTAGTGAGATCGAAGCCCAAGATGGTCCACGAGTACGCAGAGAACAGTGCAAAATTCATTCCACAGGTGTACTTGAAATTATGGGAGAAGCTGTAGCTGAAAAGGAACTGAAGAAAGTTAAACTTTCAGGGCAAAATTCGGGGTTAATCCTAGATGTTGACGAAGATTTCTTTGGGTGTTGGAGTGATATGATTACAATGGAAGAGGTGGGAATAAACAGAAAAGACATTACTTTGATATCAGATATTGTGGCTGATTTGCTCTTTAGCCTAACAGCAGAAGAGGAGCAGCTTGCAGATGGGGTTTATACCTCACTTGTACATTTTGTTATCAGGTTAAAAGCTAGAAGCTGTGACACAACCAATGGCTTTCAGTCAATAAACAAAGACTGTTTAACAGATATTGAAGTCAGTAATTATCTTATTGAAAATATTCCCAACATCATTATGTTTCTTCAGAATAATGTGGGGGACGCTGTTTTACGATTTACTGATCCAAAGCAAGTAGGATTTTATCTGCAAAGTTTATTGTTGGTTTTGAATAGTTTGTCTGTGAAGCAACTCAAAGTCCTAGCAGATTTAGGAATATGTTTCAATATGTCCCCTTCCTCTCTTTATTTTGGAAATAACGGACAGTTTCAGGTGTGCTATGGAGATAACATTCCAAATAACACAATGGTAACATTTCATTTGCCCACAGAGGAAGAGATCATTACACGAACAGTCAGTTTGAAAAAGATATTAAGCTCATTATTCCAGAGACCAGATTTGGTGACGGTATGCCGATCAGTTCGGGACGGGTATACGCCCAAACAGTTTTTTAATATTATTGAATCAAATGTGTTGCAGAGTATAGCCCTGACATATAGAAGTGTACAGTATGAGAATGTTCATTTTGATACTTCATTGCTGGGTGGAAAGATTGGGTGGTCACATCGGTCCAACACTTTGGGTCATAGATTGTTACAGTATTTGTCTTTATAAAGTGTGTGTGTGTGGGGTGCAATGGAAGCTCAAGATATGAATTTAATCCATTCCATGACTGAGTCATAGGGCGAATAACTCATATTATGAAAATTGTTTCCCTTTAAAATTAATGTAAATAATTATGATTCGAACAGTCAGTGCACAGTTAGAACAAATGAAGGAATGTCAGAAAAGTTTTACATTAGATCTGGAGTGAGACAGGGTTGAATTCTATCACCTCTACTGTTTATCACATACATCGACCAATTTGCAAATCAGCTCACATCAGCAGAGTACAACATCGGAGGATAACTAAATGAATTGCTTTCGGTGATGACCGGTAATGATATCACCAACAGCAGGACAACTACAAGAACATGTTAATAGATTCCACTCAGAATGCGACACCTGTGATATGAAGATCAACGTAGAAAAATCAAAAGTGATGATATTCTCCAGAAAAGGAAGAAACACCAATATCAAAATCGATGAACACCAGTTATAGCAGGCGAAGTGTTTTACATATCTGGGGAGCATTTTTTCAGAATGCAGAAGAATGAATAAAGAAATCCACATAGATATAATCAAGTTTTAGGCCAAATGGCACAAGTTGTGAACATGAACACTGTTAAACACAATATTCTTACCAATGCTATGCTAATAATGTCAAACATGGACACTGGCTTCAGAAGAAGGAAGGAAAATAGTCATGACAGAAATGAAATATTTACTTACTGTGCTTAGTGTAACGAGGTAAAATCTACTTAGGAACAATGATATCAGGAGGAGAGTCAGCACAGAACCAATACTGAACTTTAAAGGTAGACAACAAATTAAATGGTTTGGCCATGTATCAAGATTGGCATCAGACAGGGCACTACATAGAGCAGTGTTATACAGATACAACGGTAATAGACCAAGACTTGACGATGTAGAGTATAGACAGCTGGGATGCTGTTTATGGATGTATGTATATTTTGAAGGGGGAAATCTGAGCACCTATGGAAGTGTCTGGAGTTTAGATTTAGTTTTAGATGACAGATCAACATCACGGCACAAGGGTAGTAACCCATAAGTGCTCCGTTCTACTCCTGACTCAAGCCTGAGTCAGAAGAATCTCAGTGCAGTGCACATACTATGTGGCACCGGCAAGGATCCTGAAATACAGTGATAGATTTTTAAATCCAAATTTGGCCCAGGCAGCACCGTGAGCCCACTCTTTTTTGATTTCCAACTGCCAAGGAATTTTTTTTACGTGCACAACAATACACACCTGCGTCCTATCTTACTACCCAGAGACCAGGGAAAATTACTAGAAGTACCTGTGAAAAAATCCCAGCCTTCACCAGGCTTGAATCCGGGACCTCCAGTACTCGAGGCAGACATCATGCCTCAAGACCACGTAGCCCCCTGAAGAGCTGTGAAGGTAACCAAACTCAAAACATTCAGTGTGGGGTTCTCCTGACATGCCATGAAAATGATCTTGAAAACGAACAGTGAACCTTCCTTTTTTTTTTTTTTCTTTAAGTTGCCTTGCTCATCTCATTGTTGAAATCATTGCAGTGCAGTCTGTTACTAAATTCCCTGCGACTAACCTCAAACCCTAGTGTGTCAGTATTGTGAAATTTCATACACATGTCCTAAGCAACAAGTGCTGGCTTGTAAGCCCTGATTTCCGGGGCCTCATAGGAAAAACAAGAATAGACCCACTGCCTGCCCAAAAGCATGTCATAAGAGTCGACTAATTGGGAACTTCCTTCGGCGCCATAGAGGCAAGTAACCAACAGTCTGCATGCAAATGAGTCAGGCCTGTGAAATGGATGTGCACACAACACTCAGTTTGTGGATGAACAACCAGAACTTTCCGCTGGAGAACACGAAGAAGAAAAAGAGTAAGCCCTGATTAATTTTTTAAACTAGCCTTGGCAGAAATTCTTTTTCTGCATTTACCCTCAAAAGAGCTGTGTGATTTACAGCGACACATACAAATGCTGCACTTTTTGGCCAGACACATCCGAAATCTCTACCTGTTGACCGGACACGTCTAAAATCTCTACCTGTTGGTGGGACACGTCCAAAATCTCCACCTGTTGACCGGACACGTCCAAAATCTCCACCTGTTGACCGGACATGTCCAAAATCTCCACCTGTTGACCGGACATGTCCAAAATCTCCACCTGTTGACCGGACACGTCCAAAATCTCCACCTGTTGACCGGACACGTCCAAAATCTCTACCTGTTGGTGGGACACGTCCAAAATCTCCACCTGTTGACCGGACACGTCCAAAATCTCTACCTGTTGGTGGGACACGTCCAAAATCTCCACCTGTTGACCGGACACGTCCAAAATCTCCACCTGTTGACCGGACACGTCCAAAATCTCCACCTGTTGACCGGACATGTCCAAAATCTCTACCTGTTGGTGGGACACGTCCAAAATCTTCACCTGTTGACCGGACACATCCAAAATCTCTACCTGTTGACCGGACACGTCCAAAATCTCCACCTGTTGACCGGACACGTCCAAAATCTCCACCTGTTGACCGGACACGTCCAAAATCTCCACCTGTTGACCGGACACGTCCAAAATCTCAACCTGTTGACCGGACATGTCCAAAATCTCCACCTGTTGGTCAAACACATCCAAAATCTCCACCTGTGGTTCAAACACGTCCAAAATCTCCACCTGTGGGTCAAACACATCCAAAATATGCATCTGTGGGTCAAACATATCCAAAATATGCATCTGTTGGTTAAACACATCCAAAATTTGCATCTGTTGGTCAAACACATCCAAAATCTTCATCTGTTTGTTAAACATATCCAAGATTTTTACCTGCTGGTCTAACACATCCAAAATCTGTACCTGTTCGTCAAACGCATTCAAAATCTTCACCTGTTTGTCAAACACATCCAAAATCTGCACCTGTTGGTCAAACGCATCCAAAATCTTCACCTGTTGGTCAAACACGCCCAAAATCTGCACCTGTTGGTTAAATACATCCAAAATCTGCACCTGTTGGTTAAATACATCCAAAATCTGCACCTGTTGGCCAAACACATGCAAAATCAGCACACACCTAATTAGTCCCGAGATTGGATGGAACACACATTCAGAAAACCAGAGAGCAATATTACTAGAATGTCTTTGCACTGAAACTCACAGGGGCATAGAAATAAAGGCAGACCGGTACACACATGGCGATTGAGCGAGAGAGGGAGAAGTTAGAAAGTTGGGCAGGACATGAGGTGAGCTGCATGCAACAGTGAAAGGTTGAACCGGGCCTGAGTTTGTCGATGGTCTATGCTCTATTTTGGTAATGAATTGCAGAAGAAGAAATGTCACCTTTAACGGCATGTTTGTTAGCGGGCAGTCAGTCTATTCTGTTTGTTTTTCTCCCAAATGGGACCCAAAAACCCATACAGGATCTCAGATTTTTATGTGATAATATTTGTTGATGATGTTCCTTGTTTTCCATGTCACTACCTTGTATATTGCCAAATCTTGCGACTCGGTCACAAATACTGTATAGAGTTGTGAAAATGATTTAAATATTGTACCACAAAAGATGTAAAATTAGTGCTAAAAATGATGTAAAAGTTGTACCACAAATGATTTAAACATTGTACAACAGATGTTGTAAACGTTATGCTATAATTGATTTTAAAGTTGTGCCACGAATGATGTAAAAGTTCTACCACAAATGGTATAAAGATTGTATGACAGATGTTGAAAAGTTGTGCTGTAATTTACCTAAAAGTTGTACCAGAAATTATTTAAACGTTGTGCCACAAATGAGATAATAGTTGTAACAAAAATGAAGTAAAAATTGTACCACAAATGATGTAAAATCTGTAATACAAAGGATTTTGAAATTGTACCACAAATGATGTGAAACATGGGTTGTGTTTAAGTTATATAATGGATGATGAATACATACAGCAAATGATGTTATGTATACTATGAAAGTTATCATATGTTTACATGTATAATATTACCTGTATTTTTTGTGTGTGCATGTTTTTAATATACTGTAAATTAATTTAAAATGTGTACCACAAATCACTAGATGCATGCCTGTTGGTACGAATGTCTTGGATTCAAAGCCGCCAGGCCCACCTAGCTTAAAATTGGTTTCAGGAAAATGCCCTGTGAAGTAAAGGCCGCTCACACACACAGAGGGCTGATTGGTCTATCCAGAAATGAGTAGCATTCTGTGTCATATCTACCAGTGACATAAGAAAGGGTACTTTACTTGTTTTACTTGACCACAAGGCAGACCAAGAACAAGATGGAAAGATACAAACAGAGTAACTGTACAGCAGCACTATGGTCGAGACACCCAGAAGAGGATGTTGTACCAGAAATGATGTATAAGTTGTAATACAGATGATGTAACAGTTGTGCCAAAAATCATATAAAAGTAGTACCACAAATAATGTAAACATTGTACCACAAATGATGTAAACGTTGTACCACAAATGAAATAAAAGATTTTATATCTCCTTCAACACCTGAGGTGGTAAAAGAGGAAGTAAAGAAGAAGAAGATGCATAGAAGTATGCAATACAATGTAAAACTGTACCACAGTTGCTCATTACTAATTATTGCTCTTACCCGCCCAGGAAAGAGGAGTGCACCAGAGTAGTGCTTGGTATAGTTCTTATGGTTGGCCTAATTATAACTTCTTGCGAGATTGAATGGAGCAAGTTGGATTCACATCCATGATTTGCCCCAGAGGTGTTCCGGGGCCCCATTTTAGAGTTTAAAAGAAAAAATTTATCCACTGCCCCATTACAAGTTTTAAGAAATGACTTATTAACCCTTTGGAGACGGAGCTTTTTTGGAGTTTCGGTGCCAAGAAGACGGAGCCTTCAGAAGGGGATTCTCATAGTTTATACACAAAAAATTATTTTAAAAATAAGGGTTTAATTAACATATACAAAACTATATATATTCGTGCAGGAGATTGAATGAACTAACAGAATATTTATTAATCCAACTGAAATCTCAACA